TTTAAAAAAAACCATTTCGTTTTTACTGTACCTTATAAAGCCGCGACATTGGTAAAAATAATAATGGGATAAAGAAAAACAAAAAGTTATGTGGTGTTGACCAAGCATTCAGGGGTCGCGATTGGTTACCAACTCCCATATAGGACTCTTCCTGGGTCTCGGATTCCCCGGCCCACCACACCTCCTTCCCTATCCATCCATGTAACCCGGAGGGCCAAGCACCGTTAAGGGAGGAAACGAGGCGACACCCTATGCCTTGCTGCCGAGACAGCAAAAGAGCCCCGTACCTATGAGTAGATGCATAACCTGGACTTCGCAGACAGTCCCAGCCGGTGACTTAACTGATTGAGCTAAGGTCGGTTGGTATTTGACGGCGGGAAATTAAGACTCTTAAGTAAATGATTGAGCGCGTGTATTGAAAACCAAAAAATGCACCGCGGTCCGTTTCGAACCCCGGACCCCGCGGTCTGTGGACGATGACTCGTACCACTAGGCTGTTGTACATACAGTCTTCATACTCAGAGTCTTAATATATAGTTGGAAACACTTAGAGGATTGTCAGCTCCAGTCTGCGCTTTGCCTTCATACATGCATGTAAAAAAGAACCCTCTAAACTTCGAAACTCCCGTCATAAACAAATGATTTAAATGTCTTGTAAAAAAAACCGAACCTGTTTCATGAACATGCACTTTGGCTGAAATTATGTATTCGTATATGCGGTACATTCGCCGTATTTCCCCCCCGCAAAGTATCGGACTATTCCAATACCTTGTACTCTTCAATCCATTAATTTTGTTTCTCGGAATTTCGATGTACATCACTCTACTAGGCAAGCTATTCATCTCCATCCGTCATTTACTGCTTCTTTTGCTTCAAAAATACGAGGGAACCGAGTGATAGTACTCTCCACTGATCCCTGAAGAATTTTCTATATTTTTACAAGTCTATTTTGCTGAATGTTTAACTTGATATATCTTACTATAGTTTTCATATCTTCATAGGTTTATTTCTTCCGCATTACGATCGCTGACTTTTTATATACCTAAACGTGGATATGATGACCTTTTTATTTCTTGAAACAAAATTTCCCCCGTTTTTCGCAGCTTTGTGTAATAGCGAGTTGACAAACTCAAGTTTTACTTGGAGAACATGCATATTGAACTTGCTGGAATTTTACTCACTGAGTAAAAAAGAAAGAAAAGAAATGGGTAATTGGTAATTTCTTTTTTTTTTGAGAGGGGGGGGGGCATTTCCCCCGTTGGCCCCCGCCCGGATCCGCCGTTGCGTGTGTATGTCCCTTTTCACTGTGGCATCTTCAATGACAGAGCCAAGGTTTTTACCAAATTTTTTTCAGTGTGACGTCGCAAAAAAGGCAGCCATGCATGTTACGTACAGCATTAAATTTCAGCCACCATGCAATGATGCCATGAAGAGTCCTAGTGCCCCCTTGCTTTTCATATCGAATTTGGGGCGGAACATTTTGGACCCACTTTTTCGGGGAACAAAATAATGTTTGGCCCACCCTAAAAAAAACAACCGCTGTGTTGTGGATTTCGCCTTATACAATGTGTGCGAGACCAGTACCGGTACTGAACGGTCGCGCTACGTGAAACGAATGGTTAATTGCGAGAAAAGAAACAAAAGAATAATAATTTGAGAGAGGGGTGGTTCCTACATCGAGAGTGAAGTTGAATAGGCAATTCGGCGTAACAATGAACGCGCAAAAAAAAAAAATTAGGAACAGAGTGCGCTGTCAATAGTGTAACGCCCGATATTGGAAGAGAAAGTAAGGTGTGCACACCTGTGTTCGAATTCCTTGGTATACTGTAGCAATTGGAAAGAACTCTATTACCGAGTACATTGTTGAGTGACGATTTCTTGTGGTGATACTCTCAGTCAATACAATTGAGGGCACTATGCAAGTTTAACGGTCAAGCCTACGCAGGTTTGGTTTAGGGTAAAAGTACGAAAAGTAGTTCGAGCAAAATTAGCTGTTTCGGCGACGTAGCTCGCCGAAACAGCTCCTGCTAGTTACGTGTGTTCATATTTGGATTAAGATAGATAAAGGGGTTCTTTGCTGTTGTGATTAGAAAGAATGGTAAATGATTACATAATAATTGTACAGTGTGAGTGTGCAATGACGATCGGGTTGCGTGATTACTTTTAGTTGATTGAGGGCGCTATTCAAGTTTAACGGTCAAGCCTACGCGCAGTTTGTTTTGGGAGTGCAACTTACGAAAAGTAGTCCGCTCAGAATTTGCTGTTTTGGTAACGAAGTTCCCCGAAACAGCTCTTTTTAATTGCGTGTGTTTCATATTAGGATTAAAAAAATAGGAACCTCTCCATTTCTTTTATTCTCATTTCTTATTAACCCTAATTGAATGAGCGCGTGTATAGGAAACCAAAAAATATGCAACGACGTCCGTTTCGAAACCCGGACCCAGCGGTCTGTGGACGACGACCCTAATTTAAAAAAAAAAATTATCCGACTCCTTCCATTCTTGAGCTGCGTTTTTGGTCTCATGGGGTGAGTATCAACACTTTAATCCAAAAAGCGCACCTGTGCGCGACATGTTAATTAAACTCTTAATGTTTGACTTTTTACCGAAGTCCACTGACCCACTTGATCCGACCTAAAGAATGGCCATTTCAGAACTATACTCCCCGACATACCACAAAACCATTTGTGCTCAAATTGGTATTGAAACTCCACCTAGCTGCCAGATTAATAAGTCGTCGCTTATAAAGTCATAACATGTCGAGTAAGGATGTGAATCCCCAACATAGATTTTTCAAAAACAATGATGGTAAACTTGAAGTTGAAACTAATGTACCAGAATATGGGAATAACATATTGACGACGGTGTTGCGTTGAAACAAGATACGAGCCAAGAAAGTTGGTTGCGCGAATATTTGTAAGCGCAAATTTGGGGTACTCTACGATACTTACGAATCATTACGAATCTTTTGTTTAAAGAATAGGACGGCACGCTCAAACAGGGTCATGATAGATTTACAAAAGATCGATACAAAACCCGCTCGCATACAATTTTGCCGTGATATTATTTATACTAAATACAAGTAGGCCTACATTCGATCAATGCTTAACTTTTTGTATCATTATTAGAAGTAAGGTAATTCTTTAGGCCTAATGTTACAACATGACGCGTGGACGGTTTCCAAACTGGAAGTTCCAACACTGCACAAAATAACAAAGTACTTCCTAAACATGCCTTTTCTTTATGTAATGGGGTGTTTTGTGGCTTTTTTTGGGGGGGGGGGCAAAATATGATGCCAACTACGGCTTCAGCTTATGGGTGCAGACCGGTATAAAATATAGTTCGAAAAGTTCCTACAAATCACAATTTGTGTACCCTGAAATACTTTGCTATATAAGAGAATTTTCTGGGCCATGAACTTGAAGGTTTAAAAAAAAGCGGGCCCCGGACCCCACGCCGTAAGGGTTTCGAGTTGTTGAGGATATAATACACTTATCCACATTAAAATTAAAACATTGTGATCATTTTTAATGTTGGTTCTGTAGCGATAAACACGCCCCTCATAGCATCGGACCCATTACACGTATACTGTACATACCGTGTATAGGCCTATTTGCACAAAAACCTGAGTTGGTAAAACGCGGAACTCTTATTATTGAAGGTCTTCCCGTGTGAATTTTTCACAGAAAAAAATCACAGGAGTTGTTGAGGATATAATACACTTATCCACATTAAATTAAAACATTACAGCCCTTGCTGTACTTTAAAGCCAGTATTTAATCTTTATTTAGTGTTATATTCCTAGTTCTGCAGAGTTCCGCAGAGTTCTGCACGTCTGCAAGTTCCGCAAAATACCCACGCCCCAAAACAGTAATATAGCTGATTGACCGTACAACTTCAACAGCGCCACCAATAGGCCACATCACGCACGACCGCACAAGCGCATACTCGTGGATCGTGGGCGTGACTAGGTTGTGTAAAGAGGGTGTTTTTAATATTGAAATAATATGCTGACACTTTTTTCCAAATTAAAATATGAAATCTGCCGCAATTCTGTCTCTGCCATAAATCTTAATCGCACCACTTTGTTCTCATAATGCCATTTAAGCACATCTCCTTTTTTTTGTTCTTTTTCCAAACACAGAGTTTTTGGCGTTTAGGATCAAGGGGGGGGGAGCAATTTTTTCCCCATTCCGGTAAAGCCATATTTCGTAATACGCAAGCGTCGTACGTCAAACATATATCACGTGAATGGATGAATATGTCACCTGAGTGTGAATATTAAGTTGTTATAGCCTATACATGTATTCCACGGCGGTCGGTTGCAGGCTGTGCTACCAGATGACAACTGACATCGAAGTTCGTGAAAACAATCCCCTGGTGGCCTTGGGTACCGGGTCAGGTCAATGTCAATATAATCCCGGCGCGAACTGGTTAAAAATCCGAGAACCATTCCTTTACAACTGACGCATGCGCAATTTTGCATCTTATGGTCATCGACTAGTCTTGGCTACAGAAAAAGTAGTACTCCGCAGCCAAATTGACCAATCAACAGCTTAGTCCACATTTCTGATCGAAATGACGTCAACAATCTCTGAAGTCTAGTCCGATTCGGTAGCTGGCGTGTGGGGGTCACATAAAATTTGCATCATGCGTCGGTTACTAAGGAGAGGGCTCCGTTGAACAATGGATGATATCCCCGACTACTAAAAAAATATGTGTGTGAATTTTAAAAAAAAATCATGCCTATCAAAAAAATTACGCACGCCACCCGCCCATCCTTGGCATTGTTACGCCCCAACTATAGAATCAGTCCCAGTATTATACATTGTCGAGCCCACATGTATGTGGTCGAGCCGCGGCCACGCCCTGAAAACTAAAATGTGCAGCATTTGACAGGACATGAAACCAGTCTAACAAAAAACTTTTTTTGTCTGGTATCCTGTTCATGTAATAGTTTTTCTTCGTTTGACAAACGAGAGTCACCAGACTTAAATACCCAAGCATCAACATTTTGCGTTTGGCAACAGTACTGTAGCGGCGCTCGGGTTGATATTGGAATGAGAATAGTAACTTAAATGTAAGGGATTTTCCGGAAGAAAAACAATGAATTTTACGGACGAGGAATTCGAGGAGGCCTGCCGTGAGTTAGAGAATCCTGCCATTAGCGAATATGAGTTTTTCGTGGAATCTGCGGGTGTACAGATCTATAGAAAATATCGGGAGGTGTGTACAAATTTTATGGCACTTTGCCGTCATTTGTTAGGGTAGCGGTCCTTGGTCCTTGCCTTGGAAGTTGGAGTTGGATAAGTGATTGTGTGAAGTTACGGGTCCTGTAACTATAATAATTAATAGAACAAAAATCCACTTTTTATTGGACGTACCAAAGTTGTTTGCGACATTTCAAACCAGCATGAGTGTCATGGATAGAGGGCAGGGTTTTAGTTTTTTAGGGATTTTTGTTTGTGAAACGATGATATTTAAAAGATACGCAACATGAATATAAAGATTACCCCAGTTCTAGGGGTAAATAAAGATGGTTTAATTATATTCCCATGTAGGTCTATCTGGTTCGTTAGTAAAAAAGTCATACCCCCACCCGCACCACTAGCGCCCATTGGATAAACACTCAAGGTGTGTTAGCGTCTGGTTCCAATGGTTCGATGCTACTTAGTGTGCGGTGGGCATGGTTTAAACTGAACTGATGTCACACGAATGAACTGGATAGATCAGAGAAGGCCTCCATAGAAATAATATTCAGTGCAGCTGGTGCCAGCAAAATATCCACTTTAAAAAAAATTCTCAATTTTCCTCCAGACGGGGTCTGCTGGAAAAATAACGGGGATGTTCACAAAAATAAAAGAATGTATTTCACATTATGTTCCAAAAAAATATTCACCTAGTTAACAAATTGATATTGCTCAAACCCTCAAGATGTAAATAAATTTGAGAATAATACAAACAGGAGCAAATTGAAACTGAAATTTTTGCTGTATGCATGTATCTTTCCCCCCCAGAATTCCGGTCTTTATGAATATAAAACTTTTGGGACTTTGGATGGTGTTGGACCTGCAGTGTGTTCCCAGGTTTACTGTGATCTGGAGTACCGTAAGAAATGGGACGGATACGTCAACAGTAAGTCTCAACATGTTCACTTATACTAGATTGAGAGTTGATTGTAACATGGAGTTGTGGGTGAGTAGGGTTGATTGGAGCGTGTGTCACTATAGCCCATTAAACTTTGTTTAAAAATTCCATATTAAATTTTTTAGACTTGCAATGTAACCTTCATCTCTATTCTATTGTCTCTGTGCAGAATTGGAACAGTTCACAGAGGGCGGCAGACAGGGTATCTATTGGCGAGTCAACTTCCCATTCCCAATGTCATCCAGAGATGTATCCTCTTTCTAAAAATTGTAGGAAAATCGAATTTAACATTTTTTACAAGCATGTGTGCAACCACCTTGCTCTATGGTGCAACCCAACAAAAAGAGCGACAAAAATGACCACAGCTAAAAATCTTGAATGATACGATTTTTACAAATACTGCAGTTGTTGCACAGTTGAAATGATTTTGAACAGTCAACATTTATCCTGACATTAGTGAGTAAAGTCTGTCACGAGCCAATATGGCTCATCAGGCTGGTGCTTAATTATCTCCGGTTGCCTTGGCATGAAATGACTGAGATATTTCTACTCCCCTGGACGGGATGCCAGTCCATCACAGGTTACTCCGCAGCTAATGCTGGTACCCATGTATGCTCCTGGGTGGAGAGAGGCAAGTGGGAGTAAAGCGGCTTGCCCAAGGACAAAACTTATGGCCAGCAGCTGGATTCAAACCCCTGACCCTTTTATCATGAATCATGAACCCTAACCACTAGGCTACACTTCCCCCCCCCCCCCATACGATGTCAAACTGAGTGATATGTCAAAATGAAGATCAGAGTAGGATCTGATTACTGCATTAACTAATGAGTGACTAAATGCCCTCAAGACTCGTTATGTAGGATCTTGTTGAATATTTCTTTAGATTTATTCTGTTAATGTTGAATTCCTTGACTTGCGTCACTCAGTATGTCTATATTCGAGAAACTAGGGAGTTTGATATCGGAGGCCAGCATATATGGGTGATTTTGGGCCGCAGTGCACCGTTTGATTCAAGGCCCCCTAAGTCCGGTGTTATCCGTGTGGACGACTTTGAGCAGAGCATGGTCATCACAGCAAATGGGGAAAGTGGCTCAAAAGGTAAAAAAAGTTACATTTATTGAAAAAGAAATCACCGCATTGTCCCTAGTATTTCGACAAAATTTTCTAATCCTTTCCAAAATGTTTCAAAAAATTCAGGAAGATTAAAGGGAATGTACATCATTGGCTTTTGCTGTAATTTTCAGAAATGAACTATTTGAGGGGTTAGTATAATAGATCAAATATTGTTTAACTGACATGTTTGAAGTTTTGTGTTCGTAAATGCTTGAAAAAACAAGAAAAACAAAAATGTTTCAGTAGTCTGGTTCCCTGACTCCACTAAAGATAAAATGGATCAATTTATAGATGTCGGAAAATTGTAAGGTAAGGGAACCAGTCTAGCTGGCCTGCAACCGTTCATGGACATGTAACCAATAACAAACAAAATTTGGACTGAAAAAAAGTTGTAAATTTGGAGCAGTAGTTGAAAAATAGTTAGGTTTTTCTAACGGTGGTCGGCCGACCACCGTTGGAAATGTATACAAAACTACAATTTTCTTGAAAATGACTTGACACCAGGTGCCATAATTTTACAGGATGCTTTAGACTGTCATTTACCAACATCCAAGTAAGGTATTTCGTAAAAACTTGGTAGTTTTATTTTTCGATGTTTGCAAATGTTGTATATTCCCTTTAAATGTGCAAGAGGACAGATGTCGAATGGTTTTGTGCTACTCATGGCAATCATTTTTTTTAGTTGACTGAGAGTCTGTGGGTGTTGTCAGTTCAACAAAGAACATTTGCATTGAGGTATCAAAGCACATTTTGGCTATCCTTGTTTATGGCTATTGGTTTCATTTTCTCCTCAGCATTCATGCATTACTATGATGACCCCAAAGGGATGATTCCAACGTGGGTAATCAACTGGGCGGCCAAAGTAAGAATCTTTAAATTATTTTAACCCTTCAACCTCTGGCGACGCCACATTGGCCACAGTTGATGGGGCTTGGCACAGTGTTGATTCCAGGCTTATGAGCAACACCAGAGGAATGCCTAAGTCGTGGTTTATTTGAATACGTGTAGCTCGTGACTTGGCTTAGGACTAGATAACTTGTGATGGTCATGTGAGCACCTGTGAGGACCTGTGAGGCTCAACTACACGACTAGAATTCATTCCCAACTTGATTGTCGGGGCCTAATAGGTACACAGGATCAGAAGCAAATCACTCACCAACCAGAAGCTTAATTAAGCAATTAAAAACAAATTTTGTGGGTTTTTGTCAGAAATTGGAAGAGAGAGATAACCCTTTTGTTATAATATAAGATAAAAAAAGTATTTCTTTTCCCCTATTTTTTTTTTTTTTTTTTCCCCCAAAGACGGGAGTTCCTGGTTTCATCAAGACTATGAAAGTTGCATGCAATGGTTACCCAGCTTACCTGGAGAAGAAGACTAAGGGTAAAGGAGCGGCTGGTAAAGAGACTAGCTAGCCCAGATGCTGCGGCAAGGGATCACTGCTGCAAGGCCTGGGATTTGTTTTGTTTTTAAGTGACTTAAATCATAGCTTAAATTTACACAAAACCTCAGGAAATAAGGTAAATACTTAAGTTTTCTATTTTAGGGAGTCATGTTACACAAATTCTATAATTTCAACCATAATTTCCAATATTTCCATTTTGTAAAATGTTTTGAATTATGAACATAGAGTCTTTGCATTCAGGCTGAGTTAGGGGGCAATGTTACTTGTATGTACATGTATAGGCATGAATAAACCTTTTGTGCTTTCAATGTTAATAAAATTAATATAACAAAAAAATGCCCTCTGTCATGATGCCTGCAAAGCACCAAGTTATGCGGGACATCAACAGTGGGAAAATTGGAAATATCACATAAATTGCCACAAAATGTGGGCATGGTATTTGTTGTTGAGACACTGCCATCATTACCTCAGAAAGCTGCATCTAAGGTTATTGCATTTAATGAAATATACAAGTGCAATTCTAGAATAAGGGAATTCATTAAGCAATAATCTCTGTTAACTTTTCAGAGGGAGTGGAAAAGAGGAGCATTTAGTACATGCGTCCAATTTCATTAGACCGATCCAATGACCCATTAGTAGGCTTGAGGACAAGTCACTACTAGACAGTCGCGTTTTGTCAGTTGGCGCCCCCAAGGTCTGCTACTATAGTACAGCGCTGTTTATGGTGTTTATTATCGCAGTAATTGCAGAATACCCCGCCACTCGAAGATCACCCCCTTAAATTCAATGGCTATGCAGTCGAAGGAGCTAGCAAAAGTCCAAGTCCAAAGTAGGTCCCCCACAGTGGCTACGCAGATACGGAGTGGGATTGAGTCGGGGAGGGGCAACAGAGGACGCTATTTTCCCTTTTTTTTTAAATCCTCCAAGGGGATGAATCAGCACGGGGAGGATCGGAAAAAGGGCTCGAGTCCAAAGATAGCTCCCGTGGAGTGGATACGGGGATACAGAGTGGGAAGTGCATGGCGGTGTGTTGTGGGTGAGCAGCAGTCGAGCGTGACTTCGTGTCCGCATAGCCGGCTACAAATGGGATAAATGAGTGGCAGGGTATTATGCAATTGTGCCTTATTATCATATGATGGGTCGATGTACAGGCATGTTGGGTCGAGGATGCACACACCGTCCCCGCCCTGAAGTGCCATACTGCATGCAACATACACGTACCGTGGGACGGCATGGTGTGGGTACCTGTCCATATCGCGGTGCAAGGTGGGGGAACAAAACCCGAGGGTGCACAATCAAAATTGTGCGGCATTGGCCAAAACATCAAGGGGTGCACAATCAAGACTGTATGTGATTGGTCAAGGGGTGGGGCTTAATGCAAGCATGCAACGTTTCCTCGGATCTGCTGATATCTTTGTGTTTTACTTCTCATGAATGCCATTACAAATTGAAAAATACTGCATAAAGTCTTGTTGAGTTTGGAATTTCCTTATTTTTTTTTTAATTCCCAGTTGCACGCCCTTTAATGGATCAGTGTAATACTTGCCAAATAACATTATAAGTATGACTGCATTTTAGGCATAACATTAATAATGTAATACATGTATAACTTCTTGGTAGCTGCCATCTTTTTCAGGGATTGCCAAAAAAAGTTTGAGCAAGCCAGATTCTCACAGTTTTCTTCCCAGTGCCGACTTAAGTCTGAGAAAAGGCCTTACTAAGACCAAAAACTTGCAGTTGACTATGCCTATAAAGTATTTTTTATCTCGTAATACTTAATTATAAAATGACTTTTACAATATGCAGAGGTGTAAAGTTGTCGCATTTTATGTTTGTACTTTGTAGTCAGCGTCTCAGCGCTCGATGAGTGTAAAATATGGAAAATGTAAATATTGATCTGTTGTGAATTCTGTTGGGGAATTTGGTATGGTATGGTAATGTGAAGGTAGTTGTGATTTTGAGAGTTTAATTTAATTAGTTTTCTATGCAAAATAAAGCAATTCTGCAGTTGATGATTTTTCCACTTACAGATTAGGCCACAAGTAAATATATTTCATGATACGTGTACTTTGCAACATGCAATACTGTTCTACTTAACTTGGACTTGACCGTTATGTGGAATAGGTCACAAGCATATATATATTGCAAGATAAGTGTTTTTTTTAATTTAGTTTTGCAACACCGTTCATTAATTTTCCAATGGAATTAACGTCAAGAAGATGGACAAATACTCCAATAGATCTAAGGATGAATTAATTTATTTCATACAGAAATAGTCATTTTATAACTGGTGGCAATATAAGTGACATTGTGTGGTGGTATTTCAATGTATTTATATTCAATGAGTTAAAAATACTTTTAGAAAACTGAAAGGTTTTCCCTGCTGATGGATAACTTCAGTAAAATAAAATATCATGTGGATAAAATTAATGTCTGGAATTTGTCATTAAGTCTTGAATAGATTATACTAGATATAATTATGCAGAAGTGATTAAGTCACTGTTTTTTGTACAAGTTTCTTGCACATTTATGAAGTTTCTTATCTTTATGCAAGTTAATGTAACTTGACATGATGTAGATCAGATTTTACTGGTGTGGTGGAGTAGAGGTCTGGTGGTACAGTCTGATATTGCAATGTTACGGCCACTTTATGTCAATAAAATACATGCAGAGCCATTATTACACAATTTCATCTGACTTTGGACTTTTGCCAGTGTCTCGTTTTTTGTTTGAAGTGTCACATGGAAAATCCTCCCGAGATGGCCTGATTTCAGTTTTATTGTAAAGAACATATTGGCACCATACATTGACACCACACTTTCCCTGAATGAAATTTCAGGCAAAAATGTCTGAGCCCACTTACGTCCGTCCCTGTCTGATGAATATAACCTGCAATCGATTGATACCGAACCAAGTATATTAAGGCAATTGTGCATTTGAGAGTGGGTATGGGCAAGAGAACACATATTGACAAGTGCAATGTCTCCCAGGCAAATAGAAATGGATATGCCAATCACAAACGTATATTTCATTAAAAAAACCACCAAATCCATACAGAATATTTACAACTTTATCTTAAAAATAGACATGTAAAGTACTTTTTTTTTACATCAATGACACCTTTAAACAAAACATTTGTTTTCTTTCATAAACCCTGAGCCATGCTCAAACCAAAATTAAAGCTTAATTTTATTCAAATGACAAAACTATGCCTGTAGCACTTCTGTAAAGACTATTTACAACTTAACGCTACAAAGTTGAGGAATACAAAGTAAACGTTTTTACATCAATCATGCCTATAGTACAGAAAACTATGTTTTCTTGCACGATCCCTGTGCCATGCACAAAACCAAACTAAACGTCCACTTTGCCCAAAGTCCCATACCACATAAACAAATACCAAAAATAAACCTCTTCAATCTTGAAAAAAATATACATGCTTGAATACAGTGTGCTGAGATGAATACTTAATCTAGTCACACAAGTGGTCATTTGAAATTAATAAGAATACTCAAGTGTTAACAGTAATAGTCAAGCCCAGCTAGTCACCCTTGAATCCAACCTCTTCATGTCCTGTGGAATCATCATAAGTGTCTGGGCAATGCGTTGGAAGTCCTATGACAAAATGAAAATAGAATCCCCCGATGTATGTTATTTTAAAATACAGTTCACTCTTTGCCAAAAGAATAACTACAGGCAGTACAGTCGACTCTCGTTAGTACAAACTCTGTTAATACAAAATTCTGGTTATAACAAACATAAAGCCTTGGTCCCGACTGTGCATTGATGTGCACAACGAATGGGACTGATTTTCCTCTTAATACAAAATTCTGATATAACAAACAATTTGGCTAGGTCCGAACAAGTTTGTTATAACAAGACTCGACTGTAGCTGTGAAGCGTTCTGTAATGCAGCAATAGAGCCTTTGCATATGACGTCAGTTTGGAAGACGGGTCTAATTTGTCCCTCCGAGTAGCCACACTGTACCTTCATTGTCCTCAAATTTAAATAAACAAAAAACTGCCACCAGTGAGGGCGCACTGTGCAAGAGGTCTAGTAATTAGATCAGCTAAAGCCAGAAAGCTGCTGTGAAAAGTTTCTCCAGAATGCGAGAAAAGTTTGTCTCTGAATTTGGGGCATAACTATGCCCGCAACACCAGAATGGCCACTTTTAACACCATTTCTGTCATGCATACACACTTAAAGATAATATACAACATTTCTTTTTGCTGTCATTTTCAGAAATGGACAGAATACAGGGTTAAGTATTTTACAGCACATATTGTTACCCACTGACCTGTTTAAAGTTTTGTTCATAGATGCTGGAAAAACCGAAAATAAAAATGTTGTTCTTCTTGTCTGGTTCCCTGACACTACTTCAGATGAAATTGACTAATTAATGGACGTTGAAGAATTGTCAGGTCAGGGATCCAGACTAGCTGGCTTGCACCCGTTAACGGATGTGTAACCAACTGCCAACAGACTGTGCACCAACTAAATTTGGTAAATCAGGGGCAGTATTTGAAAAAAAAATTGAATATGGTTGAATCAAAATGTAAGGATACATACCGTCAGGATCGTCTATTTTGAGTGGTCGATACTGGTGGCTTACTTTGGGCTCCTTCACATGCAGAATCCTGCAATCAAAATAGCAAATCCAATCTTGATGGTTTTGGTTTGGGGCATTCAAGAAGGCTTTTAACAAAGAGGCTGGGAAGTTAGAGCTAATGCCAGATCTCCGGAAATTTGTTTGTCCTAAGTGACCATGTTTAACAGGTTTAACGGAAACTGGGTGCCCCCTACTGTTACATTCAGCCCCCCCCCCACTCACCCCCCCCCCCCCAAAAAAGGGGAGGGCTATTCTTGGGAAATGGAAGGACCAGCACTTCACAACTGCTATTTATTTAAGCAATACCTTCCCCTGGTTTGCCCGCATGTGGCGCGAACTACGCACAACTTATTTTTTTTCTGAATGTGCAGAAAGTAATAGCGTCTTCACGTGAGCATCAGGCGTCATCAGCAATGCCTTCCCAGTGGTCCCCCACACTCTCCCTTTGTAAACACTGAGGGGGTAAACTTGCAAACGGAGCTCATTGTTATGGAGATCATCGGTCTGTGTACTCACAGGATTACGAGCCAGGCTAACACCGCGACCAGAGCCATGACGAAGTAGACAAACCCCGGCATGAAATGCAACGTGCTGGAATAGATGGCGTTAAAGATCAGCGGAGTCACGAAGGCGGCCAGGCTGGTAAGGCAACCACTGAATGCAAACATGACACCTGGGAGCAGAGATATACTGAATTAGATATAAGTTACTATGGGATAGTATACAAATATTGACTGCTTCGAGTGGTGTAGTAAAACACAGCCTCCTGAAATGATCTAATGAGCATTCTATTTTTCCCGCAAATAGAATGCTCCATGGATCACCGAGGGAGGCTATAGTTTTACTACACCACGAGACAAAGCAGTTAATATTTGTTTTATAACACCTCTCCCACAGACGCTGCTTGATTATAAACGATTACTGATTAATTATTATCTAAATACCATTAAAATTAGTTGAAAATTGGCAAGCTTTTTTTCCGAAATACCCCTTCACGAAATCCTAGCTCTGTAGCGCAAGCGCTTGGAAACAATGTGCGTAATGCGCAACACACATGACCGTATGCATTTGTACACATTACTGGTCACTATGCGTATTGTATTTGGTTGCTATGTTAATACTAATAATAAACGGTGCTTATAAAGCACATTTTACGCAAGGTCCCAATGCGCTTATAGCACTTTGATTGCTACAGATATAGTACTTTTGGCTGTGCACAGCAAGATAGCAAAAACAGCGAATGCCATGTGTGTACTTGTACTTGTTCTTGTTTCTGTTTAGTCCGTCCAAGGCATCTCACCACAAGGCTTCTAGAGGATGCCTCCATACCTATATTTGTGCCTCTTACACCTTTTCGACATTTCCATATAAAATAATCTACTTGTTCATTTAGATATTCATGAATTCTCTGCTTATATTTCTCACCTGCTATGGAAATAAATGAATTGAATTGAATTGAATTGAATTGAATGAACCCATATACAGTATGTACTATGTGACCAGTGGATCACTCCTAACATAATAATGCTGGCGTCCAATTCCTGCCTGTTCTGAAGTATTAGACAGAGTACAACAATGAAGTTCCTTTCAACTGACCTTGTTCATCCGGTTCATACAGATCCGCCATTTTGCTTCTTGACAGCGGGATTGCCATATAGGTGAACATTCCAACAATGAGTGCTGCGTAATCAAAAGAAGATTCATTTATTCATTTTCGATGCATGTTATCTATGCTCAATGACAAAATCACCAATGTTTATTTATAAATCTTTGAAAAGACTAATGCCTATTCGCTTTTGCATCAACAGACCTTGTGCATGGTAGTCATTAAATTATAGAAATAATTATTAATGAACAAACGACCTAACCATGCCTAGCCCGGTGATGGTTGCTTTTCAATGTGGGTGGTATTGCAATTGGGACTCTGCATGTTGTGTCCTTGGGCAAGCCAGTTTACCCTAACTTGCCTTTCTCAACCCAGGAGTATAAATGGTTATTAAGGGCAATATCTAAGGAGTAACCTATGATGGACTGGCATCCCATCCAAAAATATTCCCATCCAAAAATATTCCCCGTCATTTCATGCCAAGGTATCCAGTGATAAACACCGGCCTATCAAGCCACATTTGCCCAGGACAGACTTTACTTTTTGCTTCAATCGAGACTCACATATGTAAAGGAGGAGCTTGGTCTTTGCTAGGGCCACAAGAACCACAGACGCAATGATGGACACAGACGTCAGATGCATGATCCAAAACGGTGAAAGGAACCGCTGCAGTACAGTCACCGCCAGCAAGGTACCTGTTGATCACACATTGAATGCTCTTCAAATCAATGTGGGCTCAATAGACATCTTATTTAAGGCATATACCATCATTTGCTTGTCATGCAATTTCTTCATTTGCAATAAAAACAACACCACTCAAAATCCAAAGAAGAATGTTCACAACCTAACCTGTTGAACTTTCAGCTCAATGGATATCACACTTTTTGAGAAAACACTGAAAAATTATACACACTTGTTTTGTCACGAAACATGATGTCGCCCATAGCTCTCTTTATTTCCAAAAATAAGTCATTTGACTGATTGTTGGAAATCACCTTCTTTTCTTGATTTATTTATTCTAAAAGACAGCAACCCAGATGCGTTAATGGAAATCTTGGGAATTTTACTGCCACTCAACTTTTTTTCAGTTGTTTACATGTGCTTACCTCCAGTGAAGACAGCAAACATTGAGGCACCATAATATCCCTCTTGTACCGGAGTCAAGCAGAACGGCTGACCTGTCGTGTACAGCACACTGATGACCGAGTTGGCAACAATCAACATGATGCTGGCACAAGTGATGAAGTTGTAGGCGCACAGCCGCCAACCGCGACCGCTGGGCTTACCCGGAGCCTGCCGGAAGAGGCTGTAAACATTTCTGAAGATGTTGATAGGGTTCTTCTGGGCTATCTCCTCCTCGGGGCGGTTGGCCTGTATTGCAGTGTCAGTTGACGGGCTGTGGACATAACTGCGTCTGTCCGGAAGACAGAATATGATACAACAGGCACAAACGCCGATCAAGACCATGCCAATGTAGAAAGGCGCGGCAAAACCGTAAAGAGTGATGACATAACCGATGGCGAACTGTATCAAGCTGTTTGACGAGGTGAAAGCTACGTCGATCAGAGCAAAGCGGGCTGTCCTCTCTTTACTTTCAGGCTGGGTAACATCCGAAATGTACCCTGCACATCCGGTAACAACGGAGGTGAGATCACCCGACACGCCAACAATCAAACTCCCCGCCAGAAACACGGCCAGGGGAAGTTCAAAGTACACAACGCAGGCACTGATGACGTAGGACAGCATGAGACCAATGCAGGGCACCGCGCAAGGGACGTGCCGACCGTAACGATCGCTGATGCCGCCGCATACGTTGCTCATGATCAATGCCGGGAACTGAATACAGACAGTGATATACAACATCCACATGGTACTCTGGCGTTGAATGTCCAGCTGTATTTCATAATCTGGGCTGGATTTGTTGGTGAGGCACGTTGCCTCGCTGTAGGATCCGACTCCCAGTTCCTTGGCGATGCGCCTCTCAATGTACTGAGTCTTGGTGGGTATGCTCAGACCAGAAGCCATCATGTAAACAAACAAGACATGTTCAGCAGCTAAGTATTTGTAAATACCTCTGCCGATAGCCATTGTGTCTTACAATATGAATAGCTCGTCAGAAGATAATGAGTGCTGGGAAAAAAGTAGAAGCCAAAGCCTGAGAGAAAATGACGGGTCTTTCTTGATGAAATGAAGGCACCAGATCATTTGAACAACTGCTGAGGTCTCACTACCTGTACTGAAGAGTAGATGTCCGTTTGCTGTGCAGTGATGATGATGATGACGATATTGATCCTGTGAAAAAAACAATAGGCCTGATGTAAATTCAATCATCACTAGCACATATCACTAAGTAATATTATGGTAAGCTCTGAACTAGCCTGGAAAACCCCAGCTTTAATAATGTTCATATTTTCAGATGTCTATTTTTCGTGAAATTTCATGTTGAAATTTTGATACGCAAACGTGTGTAAAGGAATCTGGAAATTTCACAAAAAACAGACATCTGAAAAAGGCAGTACTTTCTGATTAGCCTATAAAGAGGGTGAGTATGCTTCTAAAGCAAAAATAAACTACAAACTAAGTAAATGTGAAAATTAAAATTTGACAACGTTCTACATGTTTTTGTACATGTTCCAAGTGTGGCCTTTATTTACGGAGGTAGTCATGGTAGTCCAGTAAATTGGCCACATTTTTTTTATGGGGCTACAAATTTATGAGTTTAACATATTCAAATATTTACAAGTTTAGAGTGGAATAAATGATGGGGACTTGGGGACAAATCCAAATGGGCAATTGTTTAGTTACCATTACCTGATTACAGGTCCGTCAAGAGTGCTTTTTCTTAAGGTAGTGGATATTTCGCTTAGGTAGTGGATATTTTGCCGGAGGTAATGACGGCAAACTAACGATTACTAAAGGTTTGCCGGCGGCAATCCATATCAACAGAGGGCGCTGTACTCTTTAAAATAGGGCTGAATTATAAGATGTATTAAATTCCCACCAAAAGTTGTGTAGCACGTTTGGTGTAATGGTTAAGCAAAGGCTCTAGTAAGCGGGATGACTCGCGTTCGATTCCGACCGCACCAAAAAAACAGTAACTGCGCATTTTCAGTGCATATCCGGCAAACTAACGTTTACTAAAGGTTTGCCGTCTCCGGCAAAATATACACTGCCTTTTCTTAATAATAATCATTCCAAAATAACTTCAGAAACCTTATGCTGATTTCACTCCTTAATTCTATTGACACAATTTTTTGGTAATTTTGAACAGTATATATCTTGCATATTCTCTTACTTCTTATAGGCATTTTACAGAACAGTTTAAGCCATGTGAATCGGAATACCGAACTGGAAATCAGAGATGTATTGTAGACGTCCTGATCCTAGGCATAGGGCGCTGCCATCTTGGAAACTACGCCCTCTACGTGAAATTGCGCGACAATCAATGTCTTTTAATTTTATTCGTAACTTTCCTCAGTATCAGTTTCATTGCTGATTAAAAGAGCTTCGTGATTAAACGTAACATTAACATTGCAAATACACTACAGCTCCCCACCAGCAATAATGACTGATAATTCGATCAATGTCTTAACACAATTTGTCAATAAACGTGCAAATGTGTGATAATCTCTTTCGCTGGGTACATGAATGTCTTTTCAGCTGGGGCAGCAGGTGTTCATTATGATACCGCTGTGATTTCATCATATAATGGAGGTAGCTATGAAATCATGCTTTTGATTTTACCACAAAGTAGCATTAACGGGGTGCACGCGGGTGTAAACTGTAAAACGTTTGAAAAGTCATCAATAATTACCCAGCCAAACCGCAGTAGCTTTTTTAATCCACGTCATAGGCACGCCGGGTGTCGGACGCTTCGCCCCATTTCCACGTCGCCCCATGTCACTTCGCCCCTAACCACTTCGCCCCATCCCCACTTCGCCCCATCCCCACATCGCCCCATCTCCGCTTCGCCCCATCCCCACTTCGCCCCATCCCCGCTTCGCCCCATCCCCACTTCGCCCCATCCCCACTTCGCCCCATCCCCACTTCGCCCCATGTAGTATGAAAAAGGTAAAGGCTAGGGGTGCAGACCAAATAAACTGCCAAAGACCCCAGATAATAAATGCTCCCAATTCTAGAAACTTAGGAAAAAAACAAATTCTTTGATGAGGTGCTCGAGACACAGATGAGAGAAATGATGGCTCTATCCCATTCAGAGACGCCTCTCCTATTGGCTTGTGAATAAAATCATCAGCCGCTGGATTCAAAAGAATCCGTAGGTATGGGTCAGTGAGTTAAAAGGAACTCACTGCCTTGAGGAAAATGTTCCGTCAAAATTTGTCTGATATCATCATTTAGATGAGATTGGTTCCTCCAACAGTGAAATTAGGATGTCAAAGGTATTGTCGTTCTCAGGGGTGCGTTTTGGCGGTCATAACCAAGAATTGGTTCGGTGGTTTCTCTTTGGTTAATTGTTTTGGGGATTTGAGTACTACATGATCATGCGTAATTCTAACCCAATTAAAATTGCCGAAGAAATTCACTGACAAGAAACCACCGAACCAATTCTTGGTTATGACCGCCAAAACGCACCCCAGATAAGTGGGAGACGGGTTGGTATAGCCGGGTTGGGAACAAAGTTTGATCTTTTACTTAAAGCTTTTTTCTCGGTAGGGGAGAGCCTATAGCTTGAGAGGTTGGTTATGAATTGTTCATTTGGTGATGGGCTAATTCTTTCTTTCCGTTGGTTAGCAATTAGTGAATCTGTTGAAATTGTTTTTTAAGCCAAAAAAAAAATGAGATTTTTTTTTTGCATGTAACGGCTGGGGCGAAGTGGGGATGGGGCGAAGTGGGGATGGGGCGAAGTGGGGATGGGGCGAAGTGGGAATGGGGCGAAGTGGGGATGGGGCGAAGTGGGGATGGGGCGATGTGGGAATGGGGCGAAGTGGGGATGGGGCGAAGTGGTTAGGGGCGACGTGACATGGGGCGACGTGGAAATGGGGCGAAGTGTCCGACATTCGGCACGCCAGTAGCCTACTATATCGCGGTAGGCACCACCAAAATGACCTTGACCCGCCTTACAGTAATAATCCCAGTATAAAAGGCCTTTATGATGATGAGCGAACAAAGGGCATTTATGATGATGAGCGGACTGTAAGACATTTGCCAATAAGACATTTTCAGGCGTGGATATCATATACTGGATAGTAAAAACTGATTGGTCGTTGAAGTTATTCTGTGAACCGCGTTCTCATCGCGGATTGGCTGATGGCTTATGCAAATATGATGTAGAAAAATTAAACCAATGAGAGGAAGACGCCATAAGTTTTGTCAGACGACCGTGCACAAGGCGTTTTTAACAAGGAACAACAAACCTCGGGCTTGGACATTTTCCTTTAAATCTTATCATTTGAAGTCAAAGTTCAACTTGTGAATTTCGTAAAGGTTAGCTTCTCCGCCCGCCAACTCAAATTGTTGTGATGGCGTTGAACTTAATCCCACATGCTTGTTTAGTGTGCACATTTGGCGTACAAATTAGAGCAGTACTAGTGAGCAGTACAGTCATGGAGGAACCGAAGTATAAAGTTTTCTGAATTCCCGTATTAAGGTAAGTCTGACAACCTAATTTTTCCAAAATTATCCTAAAACGCTTGAAGAAAATGTAAAAACAAAATAGTCTCAGGATGGAGGAATAATGTTCTGTTCTGGCGGTGTCAAGCTGGAATTGTATAAAGGCAAAAAGGATATTTGGAGGGAATGTTTTATTAGTTTTATAAAACTGCACATAAACACGGTTTCAGTTGCTTTTGAGAAATCATTTACACTGCAACAATATGTCTCCCACAATTACAAAATAATGCCAATTTTTACTTTAATTATTATATTAGACTCTGGGTTTTCAGGCACAAAATATGAGCCTTCAAAAACTTCTGCACCAAAAGTTAGGGGGGAAAATCGAATTTTTTTAAAACTAATACTAGTGTACATCTGTGATATATCATCATAACGCTCCAGACACAGATGAACAAAAAGTAATTATATTTTATAATGTAAACATAGATTTATTTATAATTTATAATTTATGAAACATAAATTGTGAGTTATTTGTTGGGGTAAGAAGGCTCAAATAAGTTCCTGTTTTTTTGCCGTTCCTCAGATTTTATCATTTTAAGAAATACACGCATCTTGTTTGATGGTTGCCTCAATGGACAGTAAAATCTTATGGTGGTCACATGAATCATTAATTCACCATCATTCTAAACTTAAACACTACATTTCTCCATTACCGAGATGCAAGACATAAGACATATAAAGCACCAAAAAAGTCACTGCTTTCAAAATTTTAAATTACTTGAACAGCATGGGGATGTTAAGACAACTTGCTGCAGTATAAAAAATAATAGGTGGGAAGCATTCTAAAATTATTTTTTTCCTGATATTAATCACTAGCAATAATGGTGTCAGCTGTTCTCATATTTTTCATGAGAACCAAGTAAAAATACACACTATTTTATTAATAGATTGTGTTTTATATATCCAAGCAGTAAATACATAATTCCTTTGGAATGACATTATTTAACTAAAACTCAAGTCTTGATTTTTAAATCAAGAAAAATATTATCTCAAATTTTCAACTGACAAGCTTGTTGAGTGTACAGCTTCTAATGACATGAGGATATTTAAAACTTTCTAAAAACAAAACATCAGCAGATCTTAGGACAGTAAAACATTACTCATAAGAATTGGACAAAGTGCTGTCAAAAAAAGTTACTATCTCTTTTTTAATGAAGTTGCAATTTCTAGGCTTATGCCTCTGACAACATTACCACTGGTGCACAGCGTCTTTGCACTGAGCATATTATTGTCACCGTGTGTGATCTTTATTTTTGGGACTAATTGTGCACAGATTCCAAATTTACATGTAACAAAACACGGCCAAAGTAATGAGCATTAACACTACACACATTTACATGTACATTTGTAAATCCTAAGAACTGAGTTTTGGAGATTGGTGTTTTTTGCTAAACATTACAAGTTGACACACATACCCAAAGACTAGCAATGAAGTTTATAAAATTCAAGTTGGCATCAACACAGCAGATTTTCAAAAAATTGTGATGCATGCTGTTGTACATGTGTAGAAGAAGATGCACATATCATCAATCGAAAAATGTAATGACAGCCCCTTGAATTTACTTTCCAGATTATAATTGCATAAAAGTTGTTTTCTTTGCCCCTCAGAACCTAATATTCGTCATTGAGAACTGTCAATGCAGTTGTGTTCAGCTGCGGTTAGATCAGTTGCGACGTAAATTAAAAAAAAAAAAATTAATCTGTGCCTCAGATCAAGCAGTTGTTTCCAAAGATATTCTGGGGGTCGAGATGTTTCTTGATGGCACGTAATGTTTCCACTCCGGGCGCCGATATGGCCTTTGTCATCCACTGTTTGCGCAACTTTCCGACTGAAAGGAAACGAAAATTCAGGAATCATAAAAGTGTGAATCAAGTTGGCTGTCAGGTTGGACAGTTGTACTAGGCCTGTGCATTTATCTATAACTTAGTATTCGATTATTCCAACTTCAACTCGATCAAATATTCGAATATCCCATTTTGAAATGCATTGATCAAGTTAAGCATACACCAGCCTTAACTAGCCAACGATCAGGATATGCGTGTGCCAGTGCTTGTCAAAAATTGACAAAGAGCTTGAAAATATAACCAACCGAATTTAAAAGAAAAGAAATTTGAGCTAATTTTCCTCAGAGAAACTCTCAAATCGTGCGCGAAAGTGGATTTTAACAAAAGTGTGGCATTTGACAAACAGTAAAACCACACAACTTGTACGATTAAAATAACATCGTAGACGCTTTTCATCATGTTCTTGAGACCGCTTACAATTTTTGGATTTGACTTTTTTTTAAATGCTCTTCAGAGATTAAGCACCACACTTTTAACAAACCCTTGGTTTGTAACCAGACAGCAGGAAATTTAATTTAAAAAAGTTTGGAAATTCAGTCACTTTGGAATTGAAAATAAGAAGTCAGTCTGTCTTACCTCCATGGTGGTGGGACAGACTGCCTCCAATACCCAAGATCTCATCTCTTGCTGCAGCCTAAAACGGAGGAAAGTTTACATCAATCATCAGATGCTCCATATAAGGTACTAGAACAAAACTTCAATCCAAATCCCAAGTAAAATCATTTCAAAGAAACTTTTCATCTCCCAGTATTTAAAATTTTCGTCTCCTCTTTTATTTCAAACTTCCTTTTTGTTGTTGTTATTTCTGCTCCATTGCAAGTATTTTTATGATGCATGGTTATATCATTATTCACCTGGTATAAATAATATCCTTCTGTAGTCTGCAGATCCGCAACACATTGTTTTTGTCTTTCCAAAGTCTACTTCTATGATGTCAAATCTGTTTAGCTTTTGATCTATATTTGTTGTTTGCCTCTGTTTTAAGTATGTTTTCCAAAGTTTTATGGTTTTATTTTTATACCCATGCCAAAGGCATGCCATTTAGCTTTGATTCTAAACAATCCAGCATCTGTCAAAATTCCTTTAGGGAGTTTTCATCTAATATAAAAGTTGTTATTTGAGTGAATATGATTGTTTGAAGGGCAAAACTCTTGATAGTTTTATGAAGAAAACTCTGAAAAGAATCAATAAAAAGGTTTTGAGTTCCAGTTTAAGTTCAAAAAGCTTATCGGAATGAAACTGACCTCAATATCTTCATAGACCTCAATGGGGTTCGTAAGGCCACGGTACATGTAAGCGAAGTAGAAATACACACAGGCACCTGAATCATACGTCTGGGTGACTCTGCAAAACAAAAAATACCACAATGCAAATTAATGGGTATTTAAAGACGTTTTCAGTGTTGTGCGTACTTTCATGAAAAAAAAATAAACAGCTTTTGGGTACATGTAGTTGTTGGGTAGATGGTTTGCTTTTCATTTTCATTATTACTCTAGGAGGTTTCTGCATTAAGGATTGCATCACAGATGTTATCAGATGTAACTGGTTGGGACAGAAAAAAGTGGACCCCAATTTATAGAATGACCCACTGCACTCGGCACAACCGGTAATGCGTTCATGAGTCCCTCTGGGTCTCCCCAAATTCTCTCTTTGTAAACCATAGAGGGGGTACTTGCACAACGACACATACCTGCATGTTGCCAAGGGGCGGTACTGTATGCCATGTCGCTTGCATTCACTGTACAGCCTTTCTTTCACATTGCGGCACAGATCAATAACACTGTAATTAAAAGAAAATGATTATAAACTAGAGTCTTTGACTCTATTTGCATAATGGAAAAACACAACTTTATTTACTACACTGAATTATGCATTCAAATTATTGCAGACTATTGTACAATTTATGGACAGACTCAAAACTCACCGATCCCAAGGCACAGTTGTTTCAAAGGACTCTGCGATGATGTAACAATCCAAGCCCAGATCCTGCAAGAGAAATCAATGTAAAAAAATTTAATAAAATTGATGGGGAAAACTTGTCAGAAGAGTGCTAGAACCCTTGGGCTGTTCCCAAAATCCTGGCATTATTCTGACTCTGGCTCCAGCTCTATTGCCAAACTACAGGCATGAAGCTGAAGATAGAGTCAAAGCCATGTTTTGAGAAATGGTCACAGTTTTTACAAGGTACCCTGCTGAATCCACCGTAATCAACATACATGTATATAACTGAAAGTGTATAACATATATCTTTAACTGAGCCTTTTGAGTCTAGCTGGATTAGGTAAGCCTTGTCTGTTTTTTTTATTACTCACTCTGAGATAAGCGATGGCAAACGTCAGATTGTACCCTCTCTGGCCATTGTCTTCGCCTCCCGCCAGACCCCTGTTATTACCAATCAATAATCAATCAACAATTGATCAATAAGTGATAATTAATTGATTATAAATTGATTGATTAATCCACAGTTTCTTTCGTACAACAAATACTTAAATGGTACATGTCTACACTGCAAGAGATATCCCTGGTGTGGGATTTGAAGTTTGTGCACTGGAACACCATATGCTCAAAAAAGAGTTCATAAAAATGGGTGGAAAAGGTCAGTGGCTGAACTGGGGCACAACTTGCAGGGGGACACTTTTTTAAGGGACCTTATTTTCTGGAGGGACACTGATTGATCAAAACCTCAAGGGTTTTGAATGATTAAAACGTCATTTTTGCCTTCCCCAAACCCTGAGAGAGGTGATATGTGTTTCCCCATGCCCTCCCCTTGCCAATGGAAAAACGTTCACTCAATGACCAACAAATATCAACATGATTAAGAAGAAATAAAAATGAATCGAAATGGTAAATGAATTATTTCCTGTATTGATACCAAAAAAATTACACAAAATAAACAAATCATATTTGTAGAAAATTAGTTCATGTTTGGCTATGAGAATCTCACTTACCCAAAGTCTGAGGCAATTGTATAGACCTTCTTCTCCTGGGCTGCTACATCCTGAAATAGAAAAAAAATGACGATGACAACCAAACAATAACATAAATCATTCCAAAGATTACCGTTCTCTCTCTTTTTCTTTAAGTGAGTTTTCCTGAAAAGTAAAACCAGACCAAAAAGCATTTTTCTTTTGACAAAGGAAACCAACAAACTGTCTCAAATTGGCAAATGAAGATTAGGAATAATGAAGATTGACTCTAGAGTAGATTAATATCAGCTGCATGGATTTCCTAAGTTTTGAAACTACTTCGATTGAGGATAGATTCCATAAATGTCACGGGTATCATTTTTCTATTTAGACAGTTCTTTTCCTTTTATTACCATACCTCTTTATTGCCTTCAAAGAGAAGTGTGGCTACCACCATCAGATTGGGATCAAACCTTTTCAGCTGTGGGACACAAATGGAAAAAAATTCAGCTTGTAAAACAAGGTTTCTTTAATAATTTTGATATTTGAAAGAAATGTTTACCTCAACAAAAAAATATGATTCCAACTACCTCCATGTACAAATGCAATCCACTATTAAACACACTAAGAAACAATTAAAGCAAAACCTTCATTGTTAAAACTTTCCAAATAAACTTTTGAAAATCCTTTTCATTATGAATATTCTAGTCACCGTTAACTCACTACTGATTACCTTGGTAACATAGACTTTCTTCAAGCTGTCCATCAGTGACGTCCACATTGATGATGCAGGTCCCTTCAGAGCTTGTCCTAAGTTTTTTATTGATCCAAAAACGGTCGTTTTAATAAAAAATAATTGCATTTGTGCCCTCGCTATAAAATTCTACAATGAACATTGCTATCTCAATTTTGTGGACATATCCCAATGTATGCAAAATTTACATGGGATACATCAAAAGGCCTCTCGTATTTAGAAAGTAAAAGATAACAGATACATGTACGTTGATGGAGGATATCTCCAATTGTTTGGTCACCCAGCAAGAAGCTTTCTCGGGAAAAAGTCAAATGCAAAGATCTTAGTTGTGAAATGTTTGAAAGAGAGATGGGAATTAAGAAACATGGACTCACCAAACTTGAACTGTTCATTGTCCATGAGCCTTATGGAAGCTGGGGCACAACGCTGTGGATCACCGAAAAAATAAACAAGGTGAGAAAGGTGATGCAAATTAGGCATGATATTGTAGAAAACAATCAATCACTTGGAAAAATATTAAGACACAGGAGTTACTCATTCAGATGTTAAAATTCAGAATTTTAAAATGTATATTCAGGCAGACAAAGGAAGGCTGACCCTCAGCAGAATTGCACTACTTTACAAGGAATGCAAGCTCACTACTTTAATCAATCCCATTTTCCCCATCAATTTCCGAAGAGTGTTAATTCTTCACAAAAACAATTCTACAAATAATTTGTCCAGACTTGTGTACCTGTTTAGCGACTTCTCTCATAAAGTCAACACCTTGATGGAATGCCGGGAAAACAACTGAACCGTATCGTCGCACCGGCGGGAGGGGACGCACCCTCAGCGTGACCTCTGTCACGACCCCGAGCGTGCCCTCTGACCCCAGGATGACGTGGTGGATGTCCGGGCCAGTGGACATCCTCGGAACCTACATGTGCATGTATATAAGTGCAGCTAAGTCAGCGAAGAATTTGTTAAGAGATAAACGTCAAAACAGTTCCTGTGTCGGCCATCTTTTGAAAATGTGACAGTCCCATACGGACAGATCGTGACATTAGATACAAAATTCTGTACTAAAACAAAATAATAAGAAGGGAATTCTTACCTGACAATTCTTTTCAAGCACGCCTCTTGGTGTGACCATTTTAACATGCACCAGCTGGGTAAAAAAAAATCAAAATTATTAGTATCAGCAAATCTAAACAAAGATCAGCCAATTGACTGAGCATTGGAAATCGCCAACATTTCTTGATTTCTTGTAAATGACAGCAAGCCACACTGAATAATGTCACGATCTTTCATCCAAGTAAGCTTTTTGATAATAATTCGGTATGTCGCTTTTATTATATAAATGCGAATGATCCTATAATCTTTTAAGCTTTGGCCTCACCAGATCCTCAATGTTGCCGTACACGTTTTTCTTCATGCCAGAAGCTCGCGTCGCTACCCAGCCACCCAGAGAGCTAAACTCCATCGAGTCTGGCTCGTGGCCTGTGCACAGGCCATAATTGCCAAGCTGTTCAAATGTGAAGAAAATGTCCATGAGATTAAATGAACTTCTTCAGTTCAAGAAAACAGCAAGTTAGTATATCAACCATCCATTCAATAAACTATTAAACCAAGTTATTAATAATCAATGAATCAATTATTTCAATAATTAATTTCATAAATCTCTCACTCTCTGAGTGGTCCCTGTTAGTTAGGTTTGCAGCATTGCCAATGTTGCTAGCACCATGACTTTGGCTACATGGCATATCCGGGTGTATGGCTTCTAACTAGCGCCCCTTGAACAAAGACGTTGATAAACTGGGGAACCGTCAACATAGGGCTGGATAGCTCAGTTGGTAAAGCACCTGAAGAGCAATCCGGAGGTTGCAGGCTCAAATACCACTCCAGTCAATTTATTTTCATGCTCAACTTTTAAAAATTATTTTAATCGACCTAGTCAGTTTCTCATTGTGGTTTATTTTTAAAAACTAATTTAGAAAATAAATAGTCAACAATAAGCTTAACAACGTAAATAAACAACAAAAGGTGCAGCGGGTGTCCCAAAGGATAAGCTGTTGTGAGTTGGGAGCACACGTCCTCTAACCACGCTAACATTTTCCCTCCCCCTTTCCGGAAAATGAAGACCCTATAGCTGCCCCCTTCCACAAAGGACTCTTGTCAGGCCACTGTCAGTCTACATTACCTACCTCTCTTTCCAGATCCAGTCCCATAATTCCAGCCTCTATGTGAGCCGTCAGGTTCTTTTCATCCACCCACAAGATACGATTCTGAAATTTAAAAGACAAGTATGGCAAGGGATAAATTTAAAGATGATGGAAGATTGTCTTGCAAGAATGTACACAGCAATTTTCAGAAAGTAATATTCATTCCCTACTGCTGTAGAACAATGCTGAATGCTCAGTGCTTTCCAGAAGCCTGTGAGAAAAGACTGTGCAGTTGCACTGACAGGATTCGAACCCTTGACCACCTGCTTTAAAAAGGCATTGTCTTGACCGCTTTGCCATTATGCTGCATTCCGACCATATCTTGTTTCAGATGTTCATGTCTGGATCCAATTCCATATAGCACAGTTGCTAGGCAGTTAACCAGCAAAAATGTCACGTGGTGACCCGCCTAGCAAGTAAACCTACAATAAAATCTTTTCTCCATGAAATTACGCCCTGGGTTTCACCTCAGTGCACACACGCACTTCACTGGACGTGTCTGACAAATCATGTTCACAAGTGAAATCGAGGTGTAAATTTTACTTATTTAGAACAAGACTCTCAAGTAAACATATCGGCAACCTCTGTGAACATGAGAAATGTGACACAATTGGAAGGCAACATTCAAATCAAAGCTTAACAAGGTTGCTACTAAAACATTTCGCTCACCATTTGTGACATATCCAGTGAAATGATCATTCGCTTCTCCTCAACCGGGCACTGTAATGATTTGGTCACACTGGTTCCACCTTTATAAAAATAAGGAGGTTCTTAGAAACACGTCTTTTGTAAAAATCCTTCAAAACAACAATAAAGTAAGAAAGTGAAGAGAATGAGTGAAATCAATGCCAGCGAAAGCTTTCCAGATTCAGTCGTCTCTCTCAGGAACCCTAAACTCACCTCCAAATGGGATGATACACACGTCATGTTTGCAGGCCAACTCTATGATCTTACAAACCACGTCATGAGATGCTGCAAACAAAATGGGGAAAAAAGGAAAAATCTGTCAAACATAAACATACGAAACAGTGGAATATTGTCAATGCTCCATCAAAGACATGGCCAAAACAGGCCACGTATTAATCTCTTGTCTTGAGCTATTAGGCCTATCTACGTCTTATTCCATTTCAACAACATGGGAACTATCCATAGCTCTGGAGGATTGCTTTTGACAAGACTAAACGGCTTAACATCAAAACAAGGTACACAATTTAAATTGTAAAACTTACTAAAAGCTGAAAGTTTAAAATGTTTTAAAAACTGTGTATTTTTTTTTCTTCAAATTATCCTACCTGGCACGACTTGAATTCTGAATGTACAAATGTATGCATTGTTAAAAATATTTGCATGAAGCAATAATAAGTTAGATTTATTGTGCTGTCTACAACTCCGGTGATACTGTACTCATTTGCTTGAGTGGTGATGAGAATTTCCACCAATTCTGTCTCAAGTTTATTTGTAATTGATCTTTGGGGGAAATTGCTTTCACTTATGATACAATAAAACCATCCTCTCTCGATCTGAAGACAGAACATTCTTTGGACTAATCTCCATATGCCCCAGTGATCACCTTGAGTATGGCTAGTTTAAAGAGAACACTTTTAAAAGTCTGTGTGCTAACACAAAATGAAAGAAACAAGCTTGTATGAACTTACTCGGCCACAAAACAATATCAGGAATGCGTTCAAAGGTGCCCTCACGAAGCGTGAACATTTCGTCTAACGTATGACCTGGAAAGAAATTCGCTAAAGATGGTTAAGACGGTAACCTAATCAGCACAGAAAGAAAGAAACCTCAATGTGAACTTTCAAAAACATGTTGGCCATATAAAGGAGACTTGCGCCAAAAAAAAAGGAATGACAACAGTTGAACTTGACAGGAAAAACTTGATTGGTGAGATTTCGGAAGTAATTACCATGAGCACGGAACAGTCTGTCTTGGGGGTCAAAAGAGAATGAGATTCCCTCTTTCTGGACATCCTCCAAGAAGCCCTCGTTGCGTGTGACACTTGGCAACTTCTCTGACCTAATCTCATCCTGTAAATTAAACATGGGAAAAATGTCATACTTACCAAAGATTGAGAAACAACTTGAGGCCCTGACCATATTTAATGGAGCGCCCAATGTTACAAACTTTAGAACCAGTCAAAGGTAACAACATTTTGCCTGGTAACCTGCATATGCTGGTAACCTGTGCTGTCCAATACATACGTGAAAAAAAGTTTATTACAGGGGTGTGCATCGGAACCGGGTACCAGAGTACCCAACCGTTGATGTCAGGAACTGGTTCCAGATTATAAATGTAGGATCGAGTATCCATAACCAACTTTACAAATTACTTAGTTACTTTTTCAGACAATGAAAAAGGAAGCTTTGAGTGCCATTTGTGGGAATTTTTTTAATGAAAACCAGGCTACATTGAAAATCGTAACAGATTTCACGTTTATGTGCATTTTAACGTGCAACAGACGACGCTCGCGAAAGTTGCAGTTTACACCGTAAAGCTATAAAGCCCTTGAGACAACTTCTAGGATTTAAATTTTGGGGTTGGGTTTCTTTTAAGTGTACCTGCGTTTTACTTCAATAGGGTACCCTGGTCCCGTACAAACGGAAAATGCACACCACTAGTTTATTATGCATAAAGACAGAGCCCAAAGCAGAATAGAAAGAGCCATTTCATTATTTTACCCTAATTCCTAATCATTCTCTAATAGAATACACATATCATTAAAATTGAGTTTAGGGTAATTCGCATTTTACGTTTCACGTTTAGCAATCAAACCTATGCATAATTTCTATTCAATAAACCTGTAGGATTTTAAAGGGAATATACAACATTTGCAAACATCGAAAAATAAAACTACCAAGTTTTTGCGAAATACCTTAATAGGATGTTGGTAAATGACAGTCTAAAGCATCCTGTAAAATTATGGCACCTGGTATACTGTCATTTTCAAGATAAGTGGTATTTTTGTATCAATTTCCAACGCTGATCGGCCGATCAGCGTTGGAAACAACTGGCTTTTTTTTCAAATACTGGCCCCAATTGGCCATTGCACTTGTTTGCAATCGATTACAAACTTATGAACGGGTACGAGCCAGCTAGACTGGTTCCCTGACCTTACAATTCCCCAATGTATGTAAACTGCTCTGTTTCTTCTCAGTATGGAGTCGGGGAACCAGACTACAGGAAAATGATCGTTTTTCTTGATTTTTATAGCATTTTCGAACCCAAAACCTCCAAAAAGTCAGTGTAACTATATTTGCTTTATATATCCAACCCCCCAATTCTATCCATTTCTGAAAATTACAGCAAAAGCAAATGATGTATATTCCCTTTAAGGATTTGTCCTTCTGAAAGACTGTGCTTGACAAAATAATTTCTTTTGTAGCAGTCGGCTTTATTAGAAGAAAAAAAATTTCTCAGCCATTTGCTTGGTGACTTTTAAGTGATTTGAAAATGTTCCTTTGTCCCATAAAAAAATTATTTCTTGAACAATAATCTGCATTGTTATAGCGTGTGCTTAGATACAGTGATGTAATTTTTTATAAATGACACAGTAAGTTACAACAAAATGTATATTTTTGAGTTATTCGCACGATATAACAAAAAAATTGTTGTCTGCTGTAATGTGGGATATGCCGTTTGTAAGCCCCTAGGTGCGCATAGCACCCAAGGCGAATGCGCCCCTCAGGTGTTAAAAACGTCATATCCCACACATCACAGCAGTCAACAATTGTTAATTATCGTAAGTGCAATTTACAATTTGATGAAAAGTTTGGGGTTTTCAACACAGCAAGACCACATCTCTATGAAACGTTATGAAACTAACATGTGTACCGGTAATCTGACAAAGTGACACAGAAAAATTGACCTGACATTGATCAAACTGGATAAGACTGAATAAAACCAGATTAAGCTAGATTAGTGCTATCTGGTATGTCACACCATTGTCTGTGTTCAGATATGTAATTGTGCAATATGCAGACAAACAAAAGTGTGATTGTGTAACTCTGAATTACAAAATTACGTTGTGATTTTTAAAGTCTACAGGCTAATATTTTTGCTGTCTTCAGTAAAATCAGGATCTGTTATAACGGAGTAACAAATGATTCCTGTAACAGATGAATCGCAGCACGTGATCACCATATACTCACAAGGCCCCTTCAATGGAGAAACCATTGTGCATGCTATTGTACAAAGCCACTGCCCTATGACAGATTATCTGAACAAAAAGCAGCGAGAACAATGCTTATGCCAGTGTGGGGGGGCCTCTGTAATAGAAATTATAGCGTGCCAAGATTGGGCTTTGAAAATATGTAGTTGGAAAGTAGAAAAAGGTTTCAAAGGATCGACTTCAAATGCAATTATCTCGTGATGAACTTTTGTAAGATATAGTGGGTTTTGTCAGTCATGAGAACATGGACGATGTATGTGACATTACTCAGTACAGTCGAGTCTCGTTAACACAGACTCGTCCGAACCTGGACAAATTGTTTGTTGTATCAGAATTTTGTATTAAGAGGAACATCAGTCCCATTCATTGTGCACATAAATGCAAAGTCGGGACCAAGGCTTTATGTTTGTTATAACCAGAATTTGTATTAACAGAGTTTGTACTAACGAGAGTCGACTGTACACGCCACGTACGAGATTGTGAAAAAAATACCTGAATAATTTATCAAATTACAATGTACATTACAGTTTTAATACTTTTTCTGAGAAGCAAGTTAACACACTTCCACCTTGGGTGAACAAAATAATTATTTCCTTTCTTTCGTAACTGCCAAAGAGTTTATCAACCCCAGATAGAAGCAACAGACCTTATTCAATGAAAGATTCTTATCTGCCATACCAGGGACAATATCAGGGACTATGTGTCCTCAGAAACCTTTATACATGTAGGCTAGCCTTGTATTGTCAAAGCCCAAAGCCATTGTCCACATTGCATATAACTGCTGACAGCTATGTTTACTAAGCTAATGATAATCTGATAAACAAAAGTACCTTTGAGTTGAGTGATGAAAAGTACAACCTTTGCTCATTGGACTGTTGGGTCCAATGGCTTACTAGCATGGTATTTTTCAGTACTACAGATTGTTAAATTTATTTTAAAAAATATGGGAGTAGCATGAGAAAAAAATGGGGAAAAAAAGCAAAAAGCATTGCCTGACTAAGGACAAGCTCACAAATTAAAGTTGTTTGTGTTAGTTTTTTTTTTTTTAAAGTGAGGCAAAAGTTCAAGTTTAGAACCAACGATAAATGAGTCAATACAGAAACAACACTGCCATCAGCCCACTTGCAGATTTTGCATTCACAGTGCTGTTGGTGCAGTCGTGCATTGAGTTTGTTTGTGCTGGTCCTAGAGGGGCCGTCCCAGTAGAGAGTGTCAGTTGCCGACTGACTGACTGACCGACAGACCCAGTGACCCACTGACCGTCACTAGTGACTTTAGCCTGGTTATTGGCTGGTGAAAAGAGCTAGCAGTGCGGCTATCGTATAAATCCAGCTCATTATGTGTACAGCAGAAGACTTCCAGTAAACTGCCATTCTGAATCAATTGAATATAATTGTGTGCACTCGGGGACCAGCTTTATTAGGCTTGCATTGTCTTATTAACCAGATTCTTGAAAATTGTAAGGCTTTCTGGCAAAATAAGACAGAACTGGGCAGAGGTCAAAATGAGGGTTTGCAGGTATTAGGAAAGAGAATACAATTCTCCTTACAATACTGTTTGTTGCACTTCAATCAGACATTCCATTGACAAGTTATGGCTGTTTCAAGTTCGCTTTTACTGACATGTCGGAAAAGTAAAATATGTACTGAGAAAAAGAACTTTAAACTTTCAAGTTTTGTAGTCGTAAAAATTACAAATATCAATAAATCTGAAAATAAAAACAAAAATCACCCCAATTTTAATTTTTTTTTTCATTTTTCTCTTCTCAGTAGGGCCTTTGCTCGTCTCATTTTGCCAGACCACCTCACAATTAACAAACAGCACGCTATGTGTACGAAAAATGTACAAGTACCTGTGACTGACTTCTGTTGTCCGGACTGAACCCTTCTATTGAGTCAATCCAGGCCTTGAAGTGAGGCAATTCCCCTGCGATGTTGTACCTAAGAATAAGAAAGTAAGAAAGGCATTGTTGTTTTAGGAGACAGTCACAAAGCTCATGAGAATATTTTTAAGGTAGGCATATAAAATGGGAAAATAGCTGTTGAAGGCTAGAAATTTCAATTTGTTTATAGATTATTCCAACAACAACAATTTTCTGCTTTGGCAACAGGCTCGAGTAAGTCACGTTCAGGTAGTAGTACGCATCCTTTCATCCACTCCAGACTCTTTCCACCTTCCACCAAAAAATGGTGTGGCATGCGCGCGGACATGGTGCCACCTCTCTGGCGAATTCCAGTATACAATGGGCTTTTTTTACAAAGCAACAGCAGAATATTTCTTTGTCCAGCCAAACAAATCGGAATAATTTCCATTTTTGAAATTACAATTTCCTAAAAAAACAATAACTTTTTTTGGTGTGAGATATGTGGGGCTTTTTTTTGGGGGGGGGGGGTAGTCGGGGGAACGAAGTTGAATTTTAAAGCATTAACCAAATTATAAATTAGGGTAAAGAGTGCGGACTGAGAGATCACTTACCTACTTCCACTGAATGAGAATTCATTGTTGTCGCCTATGACAAATCTGGAGTCTTTGTAGCCCCAACCATTCCATTTCAATGCCTCCTGCCTGACAAATTTAACATCACATATAAATAAAGTTCAATATACACAAGAAGTTGTAGTAGCTATTTCCTGAATAACTTTTAAAAGGACATTTTGTTTTAGAAACTTCATGAATCCTTGAAATCTCCAACATTGCAGTCTGAGACTTAGGGCACATTCTCTCAATCTTTAACAAGGCTACCTCATTTCTCCTCCACTGATGGATTTGAGATATCTGTGAAGGTGGAGCTGCTAAGCACAACAATTCGCTTAGCACAAAAAGAGTCTGGCTTATAATAGCAGGTTACAGCCAAAACTCCATGTGATTTTCATGCTTAGCAAACAATATTAGCTGAATACCAATCACAAGCACTATCCATCATAATACATGGAAATTTGGTTGGTACATGTAATCATGTTTTTGCCAAGGAAGACTTTTCATGCCAAGCAAATGTTTGTGTTTAGCAGCGCCATGAAATTGCCCCTGGCTCATGGGTTATGCTTATGATGCACACCATACAGAGATGCACACCATGAACTCACCGAGGTCAAATCTCGCATGTTTACTGTGAGAAAACTGCTGTGCATACCCTCTATGGGCTCCGTGCACCAACAAAGAGGGCGCCCTTTTACCTTGCAACGATGTCCCATGGGTGGGACATTTAGCTGGTTGACGCGCACCGTTCCTTGTGTGTGACGCACGTACACCAGGGGATTTGTACTATGAACACGCAGTGGTACGTACGGCCGCGGGTCGCGGCAAAATTGCAGTCAAGCAAAGATGGCGTCGGTCGGTCACCCCCAACTGTACTTTCTTTGCCGGTGAGGGGGTACTTGTGAATGGAGCAGATTATGGTACACATACCTGATTTTGGGAACCCTGGGTGTTTTGTCAGTCTGTGCCGAGACAGCCGCACACTCTTGCAGGCAAATGGAGCTCTTTGTGTTCTAATAGATTGGACATTGAAGTAAAAGTAAACAAAACAAATGACAAATGTTAACTTTTTTCTGTCAATAAAGTGGGACTGCTGGGAATGGAGAGTGTCATAAAATGCTTCTTAAACAAAACACATTCATTCAGATGTAACTTTCGAATAGACTCCACTTTGTTGGGTTTGTTAAAACTCTGTTGAGACTCCGATGAGATATGAAAAATGCTCGGAAATAATGTTGCATCCTGACGCTACTTTTTTCATCATATATTATTATATATCATATATTTCATCATACATTATAGGGTTCCCAAAATCTGCTCGGTTTACTCCAACTGCAATGCAACAAGGAGTGTTGAGCAGTATTGATGCAGATGCAGATCTCAATAAAGGTCATTCCTTGCAAAAATGTTGAAAAGACATGAATCTGGGACTGAGAAACATTTCCAACCTAAGTCTTTGTACACAACCAAAGAAGTGGCATCTGGACACTACATTCTTTCTAAATGTTCTTTAAGTTTTGAAAACTCGTTTCTGAGCATTATATTTGTATAATGACCTTGTATTTTTCAATAGACCTTATTGTGCGTATGTAGCTTGAGTAACTCAAGCTGATATGCTCATCTGGAAGTCACACGTGAATTCCTGATGAGCATGTCAGCTGGAGTTACTCAAGCTAATGGCATGCATATGAAATGATACCATCAGCCCTATAGAGAAAGGCACAACATGACCTCACTGAGGTCAAATCTCGCATAAGTTTAATCAGTGTTAATGTGGAAAAATGGCTGTGCGTACCCTCTATGCCTTATCCGCATATTATAATAATAATGTACATGTAGCATCGAAAAGACAGAAAGATTCCCATATCTGGCCATCACCTGTCACCCTGTGCACAAACCCTATGGGACTGGTCTGAAAATGTCTCTAGTACTAGTAGTAGTAGTACTTCTTATTCCTCCATGGTCAGATGGTAGTACTGGTAGGCGCCTAGGCAATTATAGTAAAAACTTCAATAATTTTACTTTTTAGGGCATATTATCACTTTCTGATGGCTGATAGGTCACTTAAGGGAAAAATTAGTGTTGGCCAGATATGGCAATCTTTCCCCGTATGGATATTATAAACCTAAACCAACACTCACTGCCCCGCAAAAGCACCAGTGTAGTCCCGTTTTACCTACCGTCTCCTCGCCACATTTCACGGTACCAATCCCCTCGCCAACGCCGCTCGTGGAACAGAATTCGCGGCACACAAAGTCACCAGTTGAAGAGACACCATCGCCGCCGATGGCTGGCTTGAGATGTCCAAGAATTACCTTAGTGCGTTCGGTGGAAGCCATTGCACTAAAACGTCCAATTTGTAGGAGAATAAAATATTGAAAAACAGGAAAATACGGACCCACTTGTAACTGATCTCTAGTCTTGATTGACCTCGGACTTCGAGCAGACGCCGCGTTCGAGTTTTTACTAAATTTACTCAGTCCTTTGCTACTGTTTGTTAAAATTAACCGTGACAATATATTTCAAAACCTTAAAAATGTGTCGTTATGTGGACATGTAGTTTCAGATATGTCCAATTCAGCAAAGCTTGATGATTAAGTGTGTTAAAAGTATTTGATATTATCTGTAAATACTTTAGGAAGGCAATTTTGTAATTTATATTCAAACATTGCATAGATTGTGACAAGTTTAAATATCGAGACATCACGCCATTTCACTTCATTATCCAATGCACATGTGGCGAAAACGTACATAATGGCACAAGGTCGTGGAGGGCGCCCTATCGGTCGTGTAGCATTGATGTGCATTGTGTGTACCTTATGTAACTATTTAAAAAGTGTTATCGTGTGTGTGAAAAATGTAATAATTTCCCCGTGCTATTTTCGAGTTTCACCTCACATATAGATTTTTATTTTTGTTTCCAATTGCTATAATTATTCCTTGCAATATACATTGCACATGTAAAAGTTAGAATGCTTTCACTTATGAATGACTTGTGTAGGCCTATAAATCTTTAAAACTTTGAATGCGTTCAAAGTAAAACTGAAATCCAGCTCAAAAATTCCGAGTTGATGCTCCTATTTATTTTTCTCGTTGGGATGAACTTTATTCGGCGACTGTTTTATAAACACAGAAGAGACTGGTACGGTTCGACTGTTCTTGTAAAATAAAAAGCCTTTGTTGTCGTCTCTTTTCACTGAGTTAAAACAGCTCGGGGCATTATGGCTCTGTCTCAGAGTGAAATTTGCATATTTAGTTTTTACTGTGGCACCGACAGTGGGAAAAAAAACGCTCTAAAATTCTTTTCGAGCGGTTTTTCACTCTTCAAAGAGAGTTTAAATTACACTATGTTAAAACAGGACAACAGTCATGAGGGTAAAGTGATTTATTTACATGAATTTATATATTTATAAAGTAAACACTTAAATTAAGCTACATATTGCAAGAAAATAATCAAATTAGTTCGATTATAACTTTAACAAGTGGTGTAGGCCTACGCGTGAGCTAAATTTATGATTTGAAGAAAACAAATCCCAAAAACTGTACCGTCGATGAAGGCCTTTACCCGGTACCAGCGGCAGAAGGGCTAAGTGTGAGTTATAATTCTCCATCCCCCCCCCCCCTTCCCCGGAACCTGAAATTGTGGATGTCGAAATTTGATGCAGTTAAAATAATATAGTCTTAACCTGATAATGCACATCAAGTTAAGTATACTATAACTTAAAGATTGAAGTTTAAACAATGAATTATCTACATGTATGTATGTATATATACTATGGAGTGTTGGTATTCGAGATTTGGAGAGGAACTTTCAAATTATTTGAATTTGACTTGATACAAGTTTATGTAAGTCTGTTCAAGGAGTGGCCGCTCATCGACGTGCAGCCATGACACCCGTGTTGCCTGTCAGACAGCCCGAAGCGACGGGACGTCGGCGGCAGTTGTTCCTGGAACGCATGGTCAGGGAAGCCGTGTCGCGACAAGTGATGACCGGAGCTCGATGGCATGTCGTCGTTGTCGCCGTCATAGCTGAGTTGCCACAGGATGATGCTAACTGCTGGTAAGTCCGACTTGAACCAATTCTAGGTCCGTGATGGTTGATGCGCGCAGAAGTGTAGGTCGTGGTGACGGTGGCCGATGCTGGACACATGAGGTAGCTTTCGGCGCCCGGGGCGGATGGTGAGGCAGGGGGAGTGGTGGTTATTGATGAGGGGAATCCGGGAGGAGCCATTTCTGGAGATGGAGAGAGTGGGCGTGGTGATGAGGCATATCTTGGTTGGAGGTAGGAGTCGTTGAAGCGTCGATGGATAAACCAAACCTGTATAGATAGAGGGAATGGATGCAGAAGTTCTTATAAATTACGCTTGATTAAACTTACTCTCCCTAAATAAAATTGGATGATTTTGCAGAATTATGTAAGACAAAGTCCAGCCAGTATGTCTCTTATTATCTGTTGCCAAAATATTGGTGGATTTTAAAGGATTCACAAGTTGGTTCCTTGGGGAAATCATCATGAGTCCTCATTCAACTTGAATGATGTATGCATCGGTGCTATTTTTTTTCTTCAAGACTGAGTACTCAGCAGGAAAAGAAAGCCAACCAGCATGGTGAGACAACATTTCAAGAATTGGGTGGGGAAAAACCTACGTCGATATCCTCCTCTGTCACGCTGAGTGCATCGGCCAGAATGTCCCTGCCTATGAACCCCAGGAACGGGTTGGCTGCGTAGACGGCTTCCAAGTCCGTCTCCTGCTCCGGCGTGAATGGGAAGGGTGACCTGCACGGGGGTAGCTCGCCGGGGACCGGGGAGGGAGAGTCGATGCCGGACTCGGATGACAGGTCAGAGGTATTGAAGTCCATTACTGAAGAAAGGGGAGAAATTGCATATTAGATGGTTGGCTGGATGGGTAACCGGCTGGATTAAACTGAGTCAATTTTGTTCACTTTGAAGTACACAGTTGTTTTGTCAACTTTTTAAAAATTTTATGGGAATATAGTTACTGAAATGGTTTAGGCACTTGACTCACGTCAGTCAAGAAGTTAAGTAAAAAATCATCCCCCTGTTTTTTGTTTGAGTGAAACTGTTTGAAAAGTCTTGAGTCCTTTGCGTGCAGAAGGATACCCCGTTTCAATATCTTAAAAAATAATGCCCCATCAGAATTCCTTTGGGTATTTTTTTCTGTACATGTATCGAAACATTCCTCCACGGATTACAAGAACAGAAAAGTTGATGGTTTGGTTATACGTATTGAGAAAAAAAATCAAACTCACCCTCCTGGTTCCTAAATACTTGGTCCATGGCGTCATCATCTTGAAACCCAAAGAACTCATTAAACGTGGAATTCATGATGAAGAGGTTGGGTATGGTCAAGGCGAATACGTGCAACGGCTGGAGAATGTTCAAAACACGTCTGTTTCAAAACTGATCGCAAGAAGGAAGTGACACTGTTTGGGCGAATTCGGGGGGACGCGTTTTGAGATCCGCAAGCTCTCCTGGATCTCATTCATGAGCACTGCCATGTTTGATGTTATCCGTGGTTCTCGTCTAGTGCTTTGATTGGTTGATTTTGTCGTTGTTGCCAGGACGCTTTGAACTTCTCCGATGTTCCAGTGCTGTAATTGGCCAGTCCGAACGTTAGAGGATTAAGAAAGTTACCGCTTCAGAGCGGGACAATGGAGGGATTAGGTGAGGCTGTGGCTCTGGCGGTATGACAGTGCTAATCCCCTCTAATCCAAGCCGAAACGGATCAATGCGTCGGCCGTTTCAAGTACAACTTCCCCACCGGCTTTTAAGCGGCAAACTGTTCAGAAACTATACTGCATGTATGTGGTAAAGCATCGGATCTTTCAAGTTTTTGACTCTGGATAAGAGTGAGGTAAAATGCCGACAACGCTCATGGAAATAAAAGACAATGTCTGACGAGATTTGACACTTTGCCTGGTACGTGGTAGTGTAAACTAGTGAGGTTTTGCGGTAACACCATTGTGGACGAATCTCTTTTGGGGAGATGTGTGGTTCTGAAAAGAACCTGTTGGTTGTGAACCGTTCTACCACATGTGCACATGGTGTTACTGCAAACCTTCACTATAGTCTAGAATGGTTTTAAACAGGAAAAAAAGTTAACCCAAAAAACCCGTGTTTTCTGCGTTAGTTCCAACAAGGCGGATGATATTTTTTAACTCGAGTGTTACAATCAAATGCAATTTTGACACGAGTGTCGTTCATGGTACCCTTCTGATCTTCTGTACTTTCATTATTTATAATACCACTTTTTTATATCACGTGGTTATACAAACAGAAGGACCTAATGACCAAGGGTGGATCCAGGGGCCGGGGGGGGGGGGCAACGGGGGCCATGCTGTGGCTATACATTGGACTATACATCTAAAGGTCCTCACTTCGAATCACACAGGCTGTGTTTTTATTGTTTCTTTCTTTACTATTTTTAGTCACTTGGAACATTTTTCGTTACCTTGTTATATTTTGGTTTGGATGATTTTTGTGGACGGAAAATAAAGTCCGAGAACCTGACTTGCAACCCAACTTGCTTCGATATATTTACGTCAATGTGTGGTGTGGGAAAAAAATATCGCGTCCCGTCGATCCACAAGTCTCAAGCCTGTGGTACAAGCGCCCTCTCTTGCTCGCACACAGAGCCCATAGATAAGGTCCTCTGCATGCAATCAATCTCATGTTAATTCAGTCAATACTCAATAAGCCTCTGTACTAATGACGTCACACTTTGTTTACGTGTGCGCTTTCCTATGGTGCTCAGTGGACCGTGGACCCCCACAGGCTCCATAGGAACTGCAATGTAAACAAAGTGTGACGTCATTAGTACAGAGGCTTATTGCTTTCGGTGAAAGTTTCTTCCCAACATAAATGCAAGGGTTTTTTTGTAAAGAATGACATAAAAGGTAAAGGCCAACATGACTTTTTTGTTTATCCCTCCGCAAAGCATCAACACTAGGAAAATCAACGACACAATCGTTCAAGATCGAGACTGATTTTATCAAACTGTATATGCATTGAAATAATTTTTGGAATAAGAATTGAAGAGACATAAAGCTTTGTACAAACTGAAGCTTACTTTATTGCGGTACCACTTTAAAAACAAATATTAAAACGGGCACATAATAAATGAGTTTCATTCGATTACAAATACTCGCTGTCACAAGACAGCAACGCAGACTCCCCCCCCCCCCCCCACCCCCGGACGTCGGATTTGTAAAAAAAAAAAAATACTAATACTAATAAATAAAATGAAGGTCATCTAAGAATATTTTTTTGAAAAAAAGACGTCGTCGGGAACTGACATATATACACAAGGCGTGTCCAATTTTTATATGAAAATAATTGCTTCATCATATTACTTTATAAAGAAAATTGTCCCCGAAAAAAAAATCAAGTTTTTGTATTGTTAATATGCAGTCGACTCTCGTTATATTCTGTTTAATAATAACTTTGGTAACATATACATGTACCTTGGTCTCGACTGTGTTTTTTATGTACACAATGAATAGGACCAAAGCTCCTCTGAATAATTTACATACAACATTCTGATATAGAAAACGTTTGGCTAGGTCCAGCCTATAGTTATTTTTAACGGAAGTCAACTGTTTATACCTCCCCTCCCAAAAGTACGCCCCCTACGTTGATAAAGAAAATGAACCAGTGTGCGAAGACGAAAATGTCCTCAATCGGCCTTCGTGAGCAGGCATGTAGCACCATCTAACACTTCCATAGTTCGCAATCTCTCCGCTCTCAGTACAGGCGTAAAAACAGAGGTTTATGCTCCAGACTTCGAGTCCACGGCAGTGCACTTTCTTTCCACATTTTTATTGGCCCCACAACCGGGGAAACAGATCGAGACGGGGTGGGTATGGTGATCTGCGCTTCCCGGCCCGATGAAAACTTCAAGTCACTCTTCTGAAGTCTCTCAACAGAAACTACATATCGTTATCCCGTAAAAACTTGGCGAGTTCCTCGTTGAACGGAGCGTACCACTGGTCAAGGGCTGACCGAGTGATGTTCAGTAGCTCCCCTCCGACCTTCCGATTGAAGCGGGGGCCGTTTTTCATTTTCTTCTTGCATATTTCTCTGATGGTTTCGTCACTGAGTTTTTCTGAATTGTCATATTGAAAAGGGAAACAAGAAAGTTTACACATTTTACAGAATGGTACTGATATTCGTTCTCTTCTAAGACGTTTTAAGGTATCTCTCCCTGCTGACTGACAGTATTTAAAAAAGAATTAAATTCTGTGTGTTCTGTATTTTACTGAGCCGATTTTTCTCCTGCAATCGTTGTCCCATCTCAAATTCATAGTTTTATGTTATGCAAGACTTTTTGTGGGGTATCACATCCAAAAAGTACCCCAAAATGTATCTAATTTATACAATATTTACCGAAACGCATTTTAAAAGAAATGTGTCTTCAACAATGATATGTTAAAAAACACAACGGAAACAAAAAATAACGTGAACGAACTTTTCAATCGCGTACCTTGTTCTAAAAAGGAGTACAACTTTGGAAGCCACTTTTCGCAGTTGCCTTTCCAGTCCTCCAATTGCAACACAAAAATCTGGTCACGTGGGAACGCTTGCAGCCAATCACGGAGATACACAACATAATGGCTGACTGTTATCCGCTGTATTATTGGAAATCAAATTCGTAATGTAAGTCAATCTATTTAAACTAATCTATTAAAAAAAATAAAAAATACAAGGAGTTGGAACCCGTGTTCTAATTTTGAATAGGTATTACTTTTTCTTCCCGCAAAGTAAATTAAAGCAAAGAAAAGGGAAAAACATAGCTATCAATACATTTCTTTTAATTCAATCTGGGGCGAACCCAGACTGGCACCTTGAGGCGGCAAAACATGCAAAACAAAATCAGGCCAACTTTATGGCCAACGCAATTCTCCAAACTTTTCACGAGGCAAAGAAAGACAAGGCCCTCGGTATTTGACAAGCCAAATGAGGTCTCAATTCAACTTTTGAAGAAGTTTTTTCTTCAACATTCTGCACCTGAGAGTGAAACCAAGAGATTTGAATGTGAAGCAAAAGACAGTCACTATATAGACTGGTTCAGTAGTCTGGTTGCATGACTATTGGAGAATGTGTATGAATCATCACCCGATGTTGTTGTTTTTTTTGAACAGTTGATTGATGCAATACTAAAGTGGTGTTGGTCATGGGCGAGACAATAAATTCATACACAACTTTTACAAATTCGACAACAAAAATTACCGCACGTAAGGACTCCGCGTAGTCGTATGAGCAAGATCGCAAGAATCGCCCTTTGCCCATGCAAGCTTTCAATATTGCTATAGACATTAGAACATCTCGGTGAAATGTAATGACGTTGACTTTTGGTCCCTCCCATCCATTCTTGCGCCGTCGTAGGAAGTTGATGTATAAATAGTCCGAGAAGGCTCTGACAGATGAAATTGTGGAACGAGAAAAAAAGCAAGTAAATTTAGGAACTACATGTATAAGTAAAATGTTTGAATAAGTCTCATCTCATGGGTAAATGATATTACTGCACGTTTGGGGCAGCTACGAAAGTACTGGGGCGAGAACCCGATGTGGGTCCTCGTGTGGTGTTCAAGAACTATAATGCACAGTCAAACCGGACTGACTTTGTCCATGGGAACGAGGTAGGTGTGAACGTCATTGTGAATGCATATAGTTACCAACGCCACAACCACGTTCTCGAGGTCCATTCCATACTAGTTGTCAGACTAGTAGAGTGCAGTGATGGTGTCTGTTCAAACACCATGACACGAGGTTGCCGATACCAACTTCGAGCTACAACAATCGGGTCAGTTTTTGTTACCGACAATGCTAACCATTGTGCGATAACTCACTAGCCAGTACCAACACACCCATTGTGAAAGTTTTGAACTACGTTGAGACTGAGAGTACAGACAATCTAGGTGGACTTGTTTACTCACCTTTCTATCGGATCGCGTAAAAGAAAGATTATCTTGGACTTGGGCAGGACCTGGTGTATTAATTCCGCTGTGACGTACAACGGTTCGTTAGCAGTGGGGAAAAAAAGGCGCCAGTTGTCGTTTTTCCAAGCGGTGGCCACGGACGCGTCCCCTGTCGTCCAAAAAGTTTCACAAATTATTCAGTCAATTACAAGGTTGGATTCCTATTACAACGGGGGGCATCTCTTTTGCACGATGAAAACAAATGACCTCTAAATGACAAACACGTTGATTGGGAAGCACAACTTGCCGAAATTTAGTTAATGACATTTTACATGTACTATGACTATTCAAATCTATTTTTTTTTTTTAAATGACTGAGTTTATGAACTCCCTTTATCGGAGAGTCCCTAAAGATTTCAAGAGGCTTCAACGTAGATGTATTATAAACTATAGCTCCTGTGTAGATCGTTATTCAAGATCTGATCGGATGTTTCAAAACTCTCTTCGCTGGAAAGAGGGTAATTTCTGACACCTACCCGAAATAAGATTTTTCGATGCACTTGCATTGGCTGAAATCCTTTTCGCCAATGTTTGGAAATTTCCGGTATATTCCAGCAACGATCCTGTTGAAATGAAATGACACACATAATAACATTAATATACCGGTGATCATTCATTATTCTATTTACTATAGCGGATCGCGTTGAGTGGCATGTGTTGGTTGACAAGAACACTCTGACATCCCACCATTTCGTGATTGGTCAGATCGAAGCCCTCCCAACCCAAGCTCCGCCCTCATGGGTCTATACGAGTTTCAATTGGTCAGTAAGTGCATGACGTACCATTAAATCGGTTGCGTGTCCACCAATGGGGTTCCTTCTTCTTTGTCCGGACAATGCCCGGATGCCGGTAAAGTTTAGCATAGACGTCGCTGGTACCGCACTTCGGGAAACCAGCCACAAAGAAGGATGGTAAGCAGTTCAATTCCTCGGTTCGAGGGTCTGTCCAGCAAGGGCTTCTGATATTGGGGAGAAATTTGCTCGGGAAAGCATCAAATACCTGTAAAAGAGTGTCCGTGGAAATTAGTTTGAGTGGGCGGTGTCAGAATGTGGAAATTAGCGGTACTTGTGCGGACTCGCCGGGAAACAGCTAAGTTACACTGGTCATGTCGTGCTATAGGGTGATTCAGCCGTAGTCGTATACGGCTTGGCTAATAATATCGGACACAGTTGAGCAGTCACGATTCCAACCGTAGGAGTTATATTGAGAACTATGTTCAGAGCAATTTTGGACCTTGCGCACAGCTTAATATCCATATTCCTGAGTTCATTATCTTGTTTAGGTCATTTTGAACTGCGCGTGCTTTTATAAATAAGGAAAATAAATTTGCAGCTATTATTTCTCATTTAAAAGTCTCTCTAAATCGTCTGGAATGAAACATAATATTTAAACACACCTTTGTCTAAAAAAAAATCAAAAGCAGCGAAAATATCTCGAACTCATTATAATGTGGCAATAAAAAGTCATTGCAAATGTTTCATTGTTTATAGTTGCAAACGGGCAAGTCCTAGAATTGGCGCACATTAACAGGGTTCGACCTGAACTTGTTTAACTAGCCAGCCGGGTTTATGAAACAGACTCTTAACAACAGACTAGCCCGCAGGCATTTTCACTAGCCCGGGAAGTTACATATTACATGCAACAATGTGCATGTAGAACGTGTATCCTGAGGCAATCTTGTCAGCGTTTTTAAAAAACAGATCTAATAATTTAACCCTAAACAGATAATAAATTTAGACACAAATTAATTCAGGTTTGCTTTCTGAATTTTATGATTGATTTCTTCCTGTCCTTTCATCTTTGCTGTATCCCAATAATTGTTGACTCGCCTGCCGGACTATTTTGACTAGCATTTGGCTAGCGGGCTACCGCTAAAGTCGAACCCTGAGTAATACTATATCGCATATAGGTAACGAAAGTTTAACTCTCCAAGATATTCTACATTTCAGGTAATTTTTTTATTCTACTGTTGGGCATCTGCATGGAGAATACTCACAAGAAATGTTATGTCATTAGTCTTTACGATGGGATATGTAATTAAGGAAACATGGAGTTAATTATACGTATGTGACAAAAAATGGGACTTTTTCTTGGACATCCAAACAAAAACAAATTTCTCAATTCTAGGTCTCCCAATTGTGGTCTCGTTTTCATGATGGGGTCGATATCGCTTTGTCCTCAGGCTATGGGGGGGGGGTTACGTGTTAATAAAAAAAAGACATCTTTAATCTTTTACCTCTGGTGCAAAACGGTACAATGCCCGTGGTACATTGGCATAAGTTGCTTTTGCAAATGGTTCTGACACATTAGTCCGAGTCTGATTGTTGGTCAAGTTCACAGGTTGGTCGTAGTCGAACGAGGACAAACTGCCCATTCCACGGACGAAGTCTTCGAGAAGATCTTCGCCTCCATCATCCTCATCCGTCCTGCCATGAGGTCCGCTCCGCTCTTGCTCCACCGACCAGTCGATGCTGTAGCCGAGTACGAGGGCAAGCACTAGCAACGTTGGGAAAGCGAAGACGCAAAACTGCTTGCAAATTCTCTGTAGGTAGAGAGAAAAACTGTAAATAATTTGAGGAACCAAAAGATATATAGATATTATTTACTGAAACAATCAGAGAGAAAAGTGAGTTTCTCGTTGAAGTCTCATTGAAAGTACCGGTCACCGGCCTCCGTAAAATCAAAGCGGGCGGGGGCTAACCTCGACCCCAGTGTTCGAGCAGTACGCGCCCATCACTACCTGCTCTCTCACCCTGGTATTGGATCATTTGCATGTGCAAGATTTTTGAACACGTATGCAAATGAGGAACAGTCTGGTGCCTGCGTTTGCGTTACATTTGCGTTTGTTTTTGTATGCGGTGTCTGGGGTAAAAGCAGAGTCAATTCGTCGTAGCGCGAGCATGGCGTAAGTTACGAAAAACACGATTTATTTAAAGGGAATATACATCATTTGCTTTTGCTGTAATTTTCAGAAATGGATGGAATTGGGGGGTTGGAAATATAAAGCAAATATAGTTGCACTGACTTTTTGGAGGTTTTGGGTTCGAAAATGCTATAAAAACCAAGAAAAACGATCATTTTCCTGTAGTCTGGTTCCCTGACTCCATATAAGAAGAAACAGAGCAGTTTACATACATTGGGGAATTGTAAGGTCAGGGAACCAGTCTAGCTGGCTCGTACCCGTTCATAGGTGTGTAATCGATTGCAAACAAGTGCAATGGTCAATTGGGGCCAGTATTTGAAAAAAAGCCAGTTGTTTCCAACGCTGATCGGCCGATCAGCGTTGGAAATTGATACAAAAATACCACTTTTCTTGAAAATGACAGTATACCAGGTGCCATAATTTTACAGGATGCTTCAGGCTGTCATTTACCAACATCCTATTAAGGTATTTCGCAAAAACTTGGTAGTTTTTTTTTCCGATGTTTGCAAATGTTGTATATTCCCTTTAATTAAATTGTTACGATCCTACCGAGACAGCATGTAGTATCACATTTCATTTTAATATGAACAAATTGGGAAGGAAATACGTATTTTCGAGAAGGCGTGGACGAATAATCGCGAAAACACGTAGTGCACGTTGTGAATAACAACACCAAGTACACGACAAAAATCCATTGCTAGCCAATTGCCGTATCGAATCAGGATGCAGGAAGAACTTTCCTATCCCTATTGGAAACTAGGTTGGAAATAAAGTAAGCACTGGGGACGAGGTTGGGCGGGGGCTGGATTACAGAAAACACAAAGTGAGTAAATTTGACTCATTATCGTAAAAAAAATGAGTCATTTTGTCCGTGTAGTGACACATTTTGGCTCAAAGTACCACACGGACAAAATGACTCATTTTTTACGATATTGAGTCCAATTACTCACTTTGTGTTTTCTGTCAATTCCTAGGTGGCGCTCTTCAAAGCGGAAGATCACTATGGCACCGTCGATGATAGGTGACGCTTTTCATATCATGTCAACGTTCGCGCAATGAAACAGTAGGGCACTCGTGAAAAAAGGGCACTCGTTAAAAACATACCTCCCCTCGCTGGCTAGCCACACACTGCACACACCGTACCTCTAAGATGGCCGCAGAGCAAAAAATCTATTACACGGTTTCTCAACGTATTATTTACCCCAGTGTATAGTGAGGAAAAAAGTTGACCAAGTTAATTTTTTTTTGGATTTTTGATCCGCCCTCTATTTTTTGTATTTACAAAAATGCTGGAAGATCTTATTGCTCATGTATTAATGCACTGCATTCAATTGACTTAACGTCTATGATATACAACATAGTTGAGCTTACCTTTCTACGATACATTTTTCGTTTGGTTTACCGTACACCAGAATCAGTCAAATCTTAATGGAGAAGCGTACAAACAGTGATGACGGGAGCATCCCCGTTTATCTTGTTGTTAAGCTTCACCCTTTCGTGTTTACTTTTCCCTCCCGGTTTTAACATTTACCCGGCTTCCCAATTCCAAGCATTGTCGTTTGTTGGTTGTTCCCCCTAGTGTCCCGGCCGTTTTTCATGATTACGTAACATTTTAAATAAGAATAGGAGACTATTGTGCTGTATGCTAGGTATCGTGAATCAGTCGGCATGTTACAACCGGTTTACGGCCTAGCGCCATACAGTTCATGCTAGTGATGCTAGTACCGTGAAAAGGGGTCACTCTATATATTGCATGTGATGCAGTAAATTCCGATATATGACGATAAAGTACAACTCGGATGAAAATTAGAAAGTTTGACCAATTCCAGGTGAAATCAACGGTCCAAACAGGGTGGCCTCGATAAGAGAATGATAACGATAGCTTGGAAGACCATGGTTTTGTGAACTGTAGAAATGAGTTCGAGTGGCATTATGACCGAAACATTTGCCATAAGAGGGCGCACTACGCACCGTCCATTATTACGTTGTAGCGTCTTGGGCCAAGACTAACTCGCGCGCGCTGCATGCAGTAGTGAGCAAGCACCACTGTATATACTCGGTGGGTCAAGTTGCGGGCGCGGGCTTGGTTCGTCTTTTGACTGGAGCTTGAGTTCCTTTCTTCCTCCATGGTCTGAGCATGTTCTGAGGTACTTAAAGCTTTGTTTACAAAATGCTAACGTGTTATGGGTAATCCTTACTTTTAGGACACCTCTATTTTTTACGAGTTCTGTTCAAAACTGACTTTTGCAGATGACTGTCCAGTACCAAAGTGACTTTTGCAGGCTAAAGCAGTCTTTTTCTATGTTAGTTGCAATTTTGAAAGCACTTTTAAAGAAAATGTGACTTTCCTACCTTTTTTCACAGTCAGACGTGCATGTTGTAGTTCTCACACGCGTGAAAGCCCTACATAATGAAAGCCCGATGCTGATTGGCTGCTAAAAAAATAATTAAGACGTTTATTTTTTATCAGCCAATCAGCATCGAGCTTTCATTGGAATGTCGGACACTTCGCCCCATTTCCACGTCCCCCCATGTCACTTCGCCCCTAACCACTTCGCCCCATTCCCACTTCGCCCCATTCCCACTTCGCCCCATTCCCACATCGCCCCATCCCCACTTCGCCCCATTCCCACTTCGCCCCATTCCCACTTCGCCCCATCCCCACTTCGCCCCATCCCCACTTCGCCCCAGCCGTTACATGAAGAAAAAAAATCTCATCTATTTTTTGGCTTAAAAAAACAATTTCAATAGATTCACTAATTGCTAACCAACGAAAAGAATTAGCCCATCACCAAATGAACAATTCATAACCAACCTCTCAAGCTAGGCTCTCCCCTACCGAGAAAAAAGCTTGAAGTAAAAGATCCAACTTTGTTCCCAACCCGGCTATACCAACCCGTCTCCCACTTATCTGAGAATGACAATACCTTTGACATCCTAATTTCACTCTTGGAGGAACCAATCTCATGTAAATGAAGTTGTAAGTGTCACATATCAGACAAATTTTGACGGAACATTTTCCTCAAGGCAGTGAGTTCCTTTTAACTCACTGACCCATACCTACGGGATTCTTTGAATCCAGTGGCTGATGATTTTATTCACAAGCCAATAGGAGAGGCGTCTCTGAATGGGATAGAGCCATCATTTCTCTCATCTGTGTCTCGAGCACAAGGGCGGATCCAGGGGGGGGGGCCAAAGGGGGCCGGGCCAAAGGGGGCCATGGCCCCCCCCAAAACGAAACCAATTTTTTTTTTTTTTTTTATGTGACATCGCAATAAAGGCAGGCAATGAGTACACCACCATCTTTTCCTCAAAAAAACATTGGTTAAAGTGGTCAGAAATTGCCTCAGATCGCACCACAGAGCATCTAGAATCCAAAAATTGTTCGGGGCCCTTAACCCTAAAGGGGCCGGGTTATTTTGACCATCTCTCAGCCGGGGGGGGGGGGGGGGGGGGGGGGGGGGCGGATTCCGCCCCCCCCTAAGATCTCGGCTATCGAGTGACGAAAAATTTTGAAACTCAACACATGCATTTTCGCTACGTGCCAACCCGTGGTCCGATTTTTATGTTTTTGGTATCAAAAGATGCGCAAAGCTCGAGGCTAAAAAGTCATAACAGCTCGGGTCGCGGAAAACAATTTTTTTGAGGCTATCGCGGAAAATGTTGAGGGGGGGGGGCGGATTCCCCCCCCCCCCCCCCCCCCCCCCCCCCCCCCCCCCCCCCCCCCCCCCCCCCGGCCCCTTTAGGGTTAAGCGGGCCCCGAACCCCACGCCATAATTTTTTTGACCCACTTTTTGGGGGTACCAATTTTTTTTTTGGCCCCCCCCCCCAAAATTGTGTTCTGGATCCGCCCTTGCTCAAGCACCTCATCAGAGAGTTTGTATTTTTCCTGAGTTTCTAGATTTGGGAGCATTTATTATCTGGGGTCTTTGGCAGTTTATTTGGTCTGCACCCCTAGCCTTCACCTTTTTCATACTACATGGGGCGAAGTGGGGATGGGGCGAAGTGGGGATGGGGCGAAGCGGGGATGGGCGAAATGGGGATGGGGCGAAGCGGAGATGGGGCGATCATGTGGGGATGGGGCGAAGTGGGAATGGGGCGAAGTGGTTAGGGGCGAAGTGACATGGGGCGGCGTGGAAATGGGGCGAAGCGTCCGACACCCTTTCATTGCATTGAGCTTTCACGTTTGCCATGCTTGGTTTTTGAGTCTGTTTTCTGGTTGTCATCGTCGTCTTTTACCCCTCAATTTCCCTCTAAAATCAAAGCCCTGCCCTCTTTCCACAAATTTAAACCTGGTGATACTCAAGAAGGTGTCATTGCCAACTGTTCAAATGTGTCAAGAAATATCAGAATGTCACTTTTGAGTGTCATTTAGTCAGCTGTTTTGGTGAGTCTTTCCCTTCCTATATAGGAACGGGGTCCTAAAAGTAAGGATTACCGTGATATGGATCAGTCAAAGCTACTTTTTTTTCTTTAGTTAAAGATTTTTGTGTACTAAGAAAGTGAATTGATGTCAATGTCATTGTAGTGTACGCAACATAAAGTTTAAACACATGTTGTAGTCTGACATGTATGACCGTACTCCTAGCTCCTAGTACTATGAGGCTCCACGCGGAGCCTCATAGTACTCCTAGCTCCTAGTACTATGAGGCTCCACGCGGAGCCTCATAGTTCTAGGAGTAGTTGTAGTATGACCGATGACTGTGACTTGCATTGTTGCAAGTTTAATAATATGCCGTGTTGGCGTGTATGATGCGTGCACACGTGTTCTTATTCCTCCATAATGCAGGTTTCCGGTTCGTACTACTACTTCCGGATATCCGTGTGTAGTACGGGAAAGATTTCCAAATCGGCTAGAACGGTCACTCGATCACAGTAACCATGGTAACCGTGGATCAAAATAGAGTGTGTTTACTATAGATTGAAGCGTGGCTATGTACATGTATATAGCCACGTTGACGGGTCTAGCTAGTGGCATACGTATATGGAATTCTTTCCCTAATGTTTTCCTTCAGTGACCTATTGGCCATCAGAAAGTGATATGGCCTAAAAAGTCAAATTTAGCAGGGAAAATATTGCAATACAATTTATATTTACTGAGAAAACACTTAGAAATTTTCAGACCAGTCTCGTACTGTGCACAGAGTGATAAGTGATGGCCATCTTTCCATTTTCAGACCAGTCTCATTCATACATGTGGTCTTTTGCAGGATTTGTGAAGATGGCAACGGTCGACCAGCAACAGAACGCAGAGGCTGGTAAATCCATGGAGGACGGATACAACTCTGAGGGCTCAGACATCGACAAGCAGGACAAGAACGTGAAGAAGGATGAATGGGAGCTGTTTTTCGAGTCCCATGAGCCACCGACAGACTTTGCCAGCAAGAAGCTGCAGATGCATGAGTTTGCTGAGGGGCACATGAAGAACGGTACACGGGTCGTGCTTGTGACAGTAAGTTTTCAATACAAATGTATACTAAATATACTTTTTTTTCATCATAAAAAACCTCAGTAATGATAGGTATTGTCTCAGAAACATTTCCAATTTCATAAGAAAATTGTCTTTGGCCTCACTTGGGTATTTGGAAAAAATGTTGCAACCTGACGCCACTTTTTTTCTTCATATATCATCTCAATGAAGGTCAGTCATTGCAAAAATGATGGTAAGACATGAATCTGGGACTGAGAAACATTTCCAATATTTAGGAAATACTTAACTTAAAAAGTTTTCTTGACTGTCCATAGACTTTGTACACAAACGCTGAAGTGGTGTCAGGTTGCAACATTTTTTTTTAGTATTTTTCTGACTCCAGATCCACGATATGTGCACTTTGTTCTGAATAGTGAATTCTACATGTGTCCAAAAAAAAAAAAAAAAAAAAAGTTCAACTTTGGCTCTTTACTGCACAAAAGTGATTTGCTGATATTTTTCAAAGCTAAAATTTGCATTATCAATGCACTCAGCCCCCTGCCCAGGAATACAAAATACAAAATCCAGAAGGTTTTTTAAGCAAAAAAGTTTCTTTTTTAACAATCTTCAGTGGAATAGTTTCAGTGAAAGCATTTTGACTATTTTTGATAGCCTCATTCTTATGTTGTTGCAGTCAGGTGGGACAGCAGTGCCCCTGGAGAACAAGATGGTGCGGTTCATCGATAATTTCAGCTCTGGAAAAAGAGGCGCAGCCTCTGCTGAATATCCTTAACTATTACAGAAAAAAAAATCACACCATGTTCTCATGCCAAGGCTTGTCTGTTAACCTCAGACTTAAATCTAGCCCAACAATCCCTATCCAGTTGAAGTCCAACACCAGGGTTTGTTGGAATCTGTTGGAGTGAGTACTGCACTGGTACACTGATTATGATTTACATTGGTTCAGGCATACCACCATAATCACTTGTATTATCAGAGTCCAACAGTTTGGGTGTAGAGTTTACCAAATGGTGTTGGAATTTACAGGAGTGAGGAAGGTTCCTAGTAAATCACTCAAGGAGTTAGGGTTAAAATAATGAACCTGAAAAATGACTAAGTGATACTTTTTTTTTTTTTAATTGGACAAAAAATTGCCGTTTCGGTGCTCGATCAACTGAGCTATCCAGCCCTATGTTGGCAGTTACCCATTTTGTCCATGTCTTTGTTCAAGGGGTGCTAGTCAGAAGCCATAAACAAAGACATTGAAAAAATGGGGAGCTGCCAACATACATGTTGGGCTGGATGGCTCAGTTGGTAGAGCACGGAGATCGCAATCCGGAGGTTGCAGGTTCAAACCTCACTTATAGTCAATTTCTGCATTCAACTTTCAAAACATAGTTAAATTTACTATTGCTTTTGATATTTTTTCAAATTGGGTGATAAAAACAATGAGCCTCAACCTATAAGTCTCTCTCAACTGTTGTCACTTTCTACAGAGTGTATCGACATTTGGGTGTCATTTGGGTGACGTGAACATTTCAAGCAACACATGTGCGTTTAGAACATTTTGGACACTGCCCGCAAACGCACCTGATGGCGTTGAACATGTAGTTGTACTTTTCCTAAAAAGATGGTGTCCTATGAGAGAGATCTATAGCTGAACCCGGCCCACTTGCAGGCCAGGCTGAAAACATGGCAGCTCAACCGTGAGCCTGCAGAATTCACTGTCCAACAAACTTTTGGAATTTCCAAACGAAGCCATCAACAGTGTGCTCCCTGTGAAATACCAAGGTCATTTCCAAGTATTTTCCTGTTGGAAGCAAAACCAGTATGAACAATGTATGATCACTCAACAATGTAAATTGCACAATGTTTTTTATTTTTAGCCATCTGATTTCCTCGTTGTTCTCACATAAAAGCAATGTATGGGAAACCCCAGGATGTGAAACCCCAGGATGTGCAACTGCAGAACGCAGAATATTTAGTTCATGTGGAATGAGTGCTCAACCCCCTCAATGTTGAACCCATATGTTTTTCATTAGTCCACGCCCTGTTAGTATGAGAGTAGTGTTTCAGCACTTTTATGGGCATGCAACTACACGTAAGCACTGCACCATTGGTGCCTTTGCAATGTGTTGAATTTTGACAATTTCAGAAAAGTTCCTTGTAAAAATGTAAAAAATTTATCATTTCATGTGAACATGAACTTCATATATTAAAGTGTCCACTTTCAAAAATATAATTTTCTATATAGTGTGGGATAAAAGGAGAGTAATAAAGTAATCAAAATAGACTTGCCAGGGCACTTGGAATACATTTATTTTTCTTAAAGTTTTTGTACGCAGAATTATTATAAAGGTGTTAGGGCCATAGATCAAAATAAAGTCATAATTGTAATAAAAAATCAATTATAATATTAAAAATGATAAAATAAACTTAAATACTTTTTCAACGGTGAGGTCAGTCCTGCCTGCTGCCAACGAGAACACAGCAACCCACATATCTTGAACCAACCATATTTTGGAGATAAAAACTAACGATTTTCAAAGCGAAAATCGGCATCATGTGACCATTACATGCAGTTTGAAAAAAATATGTTTTACAGTTTCTTCTGTAGATATGACATTATTGTAAATAGAGTGTAATTTAATTTATCTGTATATTGTTGGTCGCACAAATCATGTACACTGTTTTTGTCAGTTCTTGAAGTGTGACTATCTTGTCTTACTTTGGTGATTATTTCAAAGCTTCATCATTCAATGTCAAATGAGAAAATTTCCTTAATGCCGTGAGTACACAGTTCCTTTCGGAAGGCTACGCCGTGATCTTCCTTCACCGACACAAGACGCTTTTACCATACGAACGCCACCTGGCCAACACAAGGTTGACGGATGTGTTGGATATACGGAACGATTCTGACGGCACGCAGCAAATAATCGGTGAGAATACGTTGATTCTAGGTAACACCAAACAGTTTGGTGCAAGAACTAAGGTCAACTGTGCAAATTTGGCGTGCGACAAGCATTGCACGTTTTTGTTTTAAAAATTGGAGGGAAAAAAAAGTTATAGCGTTCATATTTACATGACAGTGTCTTCTGACTTAATTAACACCCTCCTTCTCTGGTAGTCTGAGTATCACCCGTTATCCATGGAGACAAATCTCCTGTATAACGTCTGAAATGTCTAGACATGCAGATATATGCAAGCTGCGCGCCAGCAAAATCGGAGTCGACTTTACTAAATCGTGACGTCATTTCATTCCCAAATCACGACTTCATGTAAATGGTTTGATTGGTCAATTTGAATGCAGTGTTTTGTAATACAACAGCCGGGCGCATTATCGCGTAACATGATACAGAGCGTGTGACACAGTTTTTTTATGCCCCGCGGCGAAGCCGAAGGGGCATACTGTTTCCGCCTTGTCCTTCCGTGGGTGGGTGTGTGGGTGGGTGGGTGTGTGGGTGGGTGTGTGGGTGGGTGAGCTTGTCTTACATACGCAGTGTGGACTTCCGAACAAAAGACGTCCACATAATGTAGGTAGCACCGACGTTGTGTGGACTTGCCCACGTCCACACAGTGTTTCCCCATTTCTGGAAAACAGGTTTAGAGGCATTTTTGGGTTAGATTTATCTGTAGCAGAATGAAGAGAAACACTAAAGGGAATCATAGAAAAAAAATTGGGTTGAAAGAGTTTTCACAGTTTGAGAAAAATGAGTTTTTTCACTGGTTTTTCTTAACTACACGAAAGCAATGGAAAGTCCACACTAGTCATGTGAAACAAGTATGGGTGGGTGTGTGTGTGTGTCCGGACAAATCTTGTCAGCGCGATAACTTGAGAAATACTTAACATATGAACTTCAAATTTGGTTTGTGGATTGTTCTTGGTAATCCTAAGAAGCCTTTTGCATTTGGGGCCAAAAGGCCAAAGGTCAAGTTCACAGTGGCTAAAACAATAGAAATCTTGTCAGCGCGATAACTTGAGAAATACTTTACATGTGAACTTCAAATTTGGTTTGTGGATTGTTTTCGGCAATCCTAAGAAGCCTTTTGCATTTGGGGCCAAAAGGCCTAAGGTCAAGTTCACAGTGGCTAAAACAATAGAAATCTTGTCAGCGCGATAACTTGAGAAATACTTTACATGTGAACTTCAAATTTGGTTTGTGGATTGTTCTTGGCAATCCTAAGAAGCCTATAGCATTTGGGGCCAAAAGGTCAAGGGTCAAGTTCACAGTGGCTAAAACAATAGAAATCTTGTCAGCGCGATAACTTGAGAAATACTTAACATATGAACTTCAAATTTGGTTTGTGGATTGTTCTTGGTAATCCTAAGATGCCTATTGAATTTGGGGCCAAAAGGCCAAAGGTCAAGTTCACAGTGGCTAAAACAATAGAAATCTTGTCAGCGCGATAACTTGAGAAATACTTTACATGTGAACTTCAAATTTGGTTTGTGGATTGTTTTTGGCAATCCTAAGAAGCCTTTTGCATTTGGGGCCAAAAGGCCTAAGGTCAAGTTCACAGTGGCTAAAACAATAGAAATCTTGTCAGCGCGATAACTTGAGAAATACTTTACATGTGAACTTCAAATTTGGTTTGTGGATTGTTCTTGGCAATCCTAAGAAGCCTATTGCATTTGGGGCCAAAAGGTCAAGGGTCAAGTTCACAGTGGCTAAAACAATAGAAATCTTGTCAGCGCGATAACTTGAGAAATACTTAACATATGAACTTCAAATTTGGTTTGTGGATTGTTCTTGGTAATCCTAAGATGCCTATTGAATTTGGGGCCAAAAGGTCAAGGGTCAAGTTCACAGTGGCTAAAACAATAGAAATCATGTATTTATTCTGAGATTATAGGGATTAGGGATTAATTCATATAAAACCTACAGAAGACACTAATGCTGTCAATGAATGTTCCATGTGACCAAGGTACATGTAAGTTGATGTTAGAAGAGTGGTGTTATGTCATGGGAACTGTCACCGTTGCGGGGCATTTGTGTTTGTAAACACACCTGACTTGTTTTATCCATTGTCTGATGAGCAACGGGTGAATGGCCAAAGACCTGATATAGAAAGCGCCCGCTGATTGGTCAAAATCTAGAGGTCAAGAGGCGGTTGTCTTGCCTAATTAATCAGCGAATAGACTACCTCTCTGGCTGGCATGGGAAAAATGAGGAACCGCCAACATAGGGCTGGATAGCTCAGTTGGTAGAGCACTGGAACGACAATCTGGAGGTCGCAGGTTCGAAACCCCGCTCCAGTCAATTTCTTTGTTCAACTATCAGAAATTAGGAAAAGAATTTTGTGTGCTTTAGGACCGCCTTGACTAGGCTTTCAATGTCATTTTTTCCCCATCTCATTCCCAGCCAATCAAGACAAATTCCCCAAGCTTCTCTCCATCTTGAAGGGTTACAAGGAGGTCCAGGCTTCCAACAGTCTCCTCCTGATAGAGTTCATGATGCTGCAGGAGTATCTATATCTCCTCCAGGCTGCGGCTGAGGCTCTGTCCTTCGCTGGTACCCACGCCATGTTCTACCTAGCTGCCGCGGTGTCAGACTTCTACATTCCAAGCGAAGAAATGGTGAGTTCTTTTGTGAACAGAAACTCGGGCTCTGCACTGGTTGGTGCATGTAGTACTCTTCGCTACCCCGTTTCAGATTGAGTTGCTCCAAGTGTGTGACTCAAGCTGACCCAAAGTAGAATTTAGATAAGCTGTAAGGCCCAAAAAAAAATAGTCAGTCTCTGGTCATGCGCTCGTCAATTTTGATCATAAGCGTCAATTTTTTTAATTTTCAGCGGCTTGTTTTTTAAAACATTTTGGAGGGAAAGGTCAAGTCATAAAAGTTGCCTCGGATGTATGAAAAATGTGAGGGAAAGCATTTAAGGTACCTAGGCAAACAAGGAGGGAACCTACATGTAGGCAAAATGAGGGGCACCAAGCAGATGTTGAGGACACCAAGGCATGGGGAGAGCATCTAGGCAAATGAGGGGCACCAAGGAATGGGGAAGGGCACCAAGGCAGGTGATAGAGGGCACCTAGGCAAATGATGGAGGACACCAAGGTATACGAGGACAAATAAAATCAGCCAACACTCCATTTTCCTGCACAACTTCCCCTCAACTAGGTCCAGTGTTTTATACTTCTGCGTGGAATCCGTTTTCTGATCTAGAAAATATTTCCCATCTCTGGCCACAGATTGAGCACAAAATCCAGTCGGCCGACGGCCCGCCCAACATCATCCTTCATGTCGTGCCCAAGATGCTTACCCCGTTGGTGCGGCACTGGGCCCCCGAGGCCTTCGTGGTATCCTTCAAACTGGAGACAGACCGGTCGTTGCTCTTGGACAAGGCCAGGCAAGCCTTAGAAAAATACAACCACCAGGTAAGAATGGAGTGATCATCATTGGCTAGATTTGGCTACACTTATGTTGCGCAAGGCTTCGTTCCTAATTTTAAGTGACTATATCCGCTCCGTTCACAAGTACCCCCTCACCGGCAAACAAAGTACAGTTGGGGGTGACCAACCGAGGCCATCTTGCCTGACTTCAATTTTGCCGCAACGCGCGGCCGTACCACTGCGTGTACATAGTACAAATCCCCTGGTGTACGTGCGTCACACACAAGGAACGGTGCGCGTCAACCAGCTAAATGTCCTGCCCATGGGACGTCGTTGCTAGGTAAAAGGGCGCCCTCTTTCGTTGGCGCACAGAGCCCATAATGGCCTGTTAATGTATCGTTAACGTTGCTCAATCCAACAGGATCCAACTATTTTACTTATTTGTTGGGTCCTGTTGAATTGAGCAATAAACCCCTGGCATATATTCCTGTTGAATTATATTAGATTCAGCAGGCAACTGAAAAGATTCAGAATCGGATTCAGTGTGCACTTGCGGTGTGCTCTTCTCGGGGCTCTTGAAAGTGGTGAGCACGCCCTCTCTTGTTTCGTGTGCAGAGTCCGTAAATTGCAGGAGAGTTTGGGCAAATGATTTCAATGATTTTGCATGGAATCCTATTTATTGGTCTCAGTTTTTATTTAAACTCCGCTTTGTTTTTCTACATCCTTTATTTTATAATCTCAGGTGGTTATAGCTAACATTTTGGAGGAGCGGAATGAATGGGTCACCATGGTAACGCCAGAGGAATACCAGAAACTCTCCATCACGGATAGAAATGTGTCGTGCATCGAGGAATTAATCATATCGGATCTGGTCACGAAACACACGGTATTCATTGTGAACAACTCCAGTGAGTGACAAAATGTCACCGAAGGTTTCCCCGTCGATTGTAATGCAGGAACGGGTTAAAATATGAAGTGCCAAAATACATAAAGGCTATGAGTTGCGTTTCATATTAGAAGTACATTTACATGTACTTCTCTGGTGTTGGACAACTACGACAGTACTCAGCAGTGTTGTAGTACTCGTACTCGGTACTCATACTCGAGCACTACTCGAGTACTTTTTTTTTAGAGTACTCGTACTCATACTTGTACTCGAATGTCAAAGTACTCGTACTCGAAACGACGGTACTGGACCCAACTGAACAAAAAAGAATCAGCTTGGTCTCGTGTCATGTTGGGGCTGGGCTACTGATGCTTTTGACAACGTTTGGTTGAAGTCGGTCAAAATATACAGGAGCATTAGAAAATGTCAAAATTTGTTACTAACTAACAAATGGACTAACTAACGTACGAACTAACGGGAAAACGTGATGATTTGTTGAGCTGCTACCTGCAGCTAAAAACAAATAAGTGACAAGGCTCATTTTGCCAGAACTGGTCAAAAAAAGAAGGTTTTTCCCCTGTTTCTTGTGACTCCTTTTGATCGTTTGGGTCAAAGTTTTGATGGTAGATATTGTTTATTCAGCACCTACTTTTCAGAATTTATATTCATTTTAATGTCATTTGTATCTTGCTGTAGTTTTAAACATCTCTGAATTTATTAATGGCACCCCCTATCTCATACCAAGTTTTTGGCAAAACTGAAGTTAAAGGTGGAGTGAACCATTTGCAGCTGTCAAAAAAGTGACCGACCAAAATACTGTTAAAAAGCATACTTGGTTTAAAGATAGTAGTGACACTAAACTCCCTGTGAAGTTATTCCAAGTGACATGCTGTCATTTTTAAGAACACAAAAGGTCATTTCCAAAGATGTGTCAAGTGAGACATCTTTGGAAATTTCCGTTAGCAATTGGTTTGTAGTTGGAATGATCTGTGATACTGTGAAAGGGTGCGCGCAAGTCGTTGACATGACGTGAGCGAGCGCCGCGGTTGCTATTATTCGTTGGTTCAGTGCGTGACATCGCGTAGCTGCAATCAGCTGAATGAGAACGTGTCCCGGATGTTGATTTTGGCCTTTTTTTCCGGGCGCAATTCAAAATATGACTGCAACTTTTGAATCACATAGAGATCCTAGAATATTGTTTTCTTGGAGTATACAGTATTCACAGAGCTAAAACTTCACAATTAGTGCCTTCTTAAGATCTAGAGCAATTTTGTTGTTTCCTACAAACGGTCCACTCTGCCTTTTTTTAACGTGCCAAGTATTCAGGGGTTCTCTGTGGAGCATCGTCTGTTGCTCTGTTGCACTTTGAGTTCTTTCATACCTGAAACAGTGTACGTGTATATCTTATTAAACTTAATTTAGTGCTGGTCCAAGAGATGTTGGCCTGTAGTCGTCTTTGTACCTGCATCACTGACACACTGACCAGCGTGGCCAAACATCAAATTTTGAATATCCCAAGATGTACTTCTGCAAAATTCCCAAGATTTCCCAAGATATCAGGTTGTGTATCAAAATAGCAGCTCATGCCCTGCATTTATGTGAATGGGGCTCGTAAAATGCTTTAGTTAACATTTTGCGCCTGTGCAATCCATATAGTGCGTTCACAGTACGCCACAAAATCCCAAGGCTCAGTGAAACGTTCCAAAAGCCTAACCTAACTCCCCAATATCTTCATAAGATGGAATTTTGCGTCAGGGTGATGTAAATCAAATTAGGTTTTGCCCTTTTGAGTGATTTTTTTCCAACTTTCACTACGGAGGTAACACACTGAGTATACAGTGTTTATAGGTCGGTGAAGGGCAAAACCTAATTTGATCCCAATATCTAGGTAAAAAATCTCAAGGAGTGTCACTTAATTAGACTTGCTTAAGTCTCACCTTGGCCAAAAAGTAACGCCAATGCAGGGTGAACGTTTTAGCCGATTTTCAGCTAACTTTGACAGATTTTTTTGTTAAGATAACGAGTTTGACAGAAAATTTGACAGAATGATTTTTTTTGCAAAAATAGATATTTGACAGAAAAACATAACAAATTTGAAAAAAATGTGTTAAATGGTACATTTGTAAGATGGTAACGATAAATTGTCTAGAATTACACAGCAACGAAAAGACTTCAGAATCAATTGAATAGAATTGTGTGCACTCTGGGACCAGCTTTACTAGACTTGCCTTATTGTTACTCAAATACTTAAAAAAAACAATTTTAGAGTAGTTCGCTTTCATTACTAATTTCTTATAATTAAAGAATTTTACAATTTTTATTAATTTGAGCTTTTTTTTTTAACATTGCCGGTGAAGCTCTATGTACATATTGTTAGTTTTTGGAGAACATGCAGTATTATATGCATGTTGGTATGCATATTTGGAATTTCTATTTTTACAGCTTAAAATAAAGCGCAAGTGCGTATGATATTCATTTATGAATTGGTATGGATTATTTCTGTGTTTTCTCTAAATTAAATTAAATTTTGAGGCACTGGGTTTTCTTTTGGAAAATGTTAATGTTCCAGTAAATAGTATGTTTATCAAAGTAGTGCACTGAGATCGTCTTTATTGACATTAATCGTGAGATGGTGTAACCTCACGATTAAGGTTGATGATCCCGAGAACCAGTTAAGAATTTGAAGTCTTCTACGTTCTGACAAAAATGAACGGTAATCCCAGCTGGGTTATCTGGTGGTCGCAGGTTCAAACCTAGTCCGAAAATTTGGGACTCTCAATACTGTGTATGAGAGTCCCAAAACTTAAGGTATTGAAAACATGCAAAACAAGAAAATAGACTGGCACCTAAAACAACCAGTCCAACACAACTTCAGTACTGCATCAATCAACCATGCCAAAAGAATTTAAGAAACATGTGGCATGAAGCGGGCACTAGTCTCCATTTACTACACATTTCTCCATAGTCAAGCCACCAGACTATTGACACTGAATGAAGAGGGCAGTCTTTTCAAATAGTTGGACCATGGTTGGACATGTACCAGTCTAGTATTTAGCCCCATTTTGAAATCACTCGACTTCCCTCTCATGTGTAAAATATTGAAGAAATGTCTCCTTTAAAAATTGAATTTGGTCTGCAAACTTGGTTGGTGAAATACTGAGGACATTTTCTTTGCCCCAGTGGAATTTTTGGAGAAATTTGCTGGCTAAACTGTGAGTAAAGTGGGCCTGATTTAGTTTTGCACGTTTCAGAGCACTCCAGAGCCCTGTCTGGTTCAATCCCTGCTTCAAACAATTTCTTTAATGCACTTGTCAGTTTCCCTTTGTGGAGGCTAAAAAAAGGAAGAAAGAAGAAGTTAAATGAAAAAAAGTAATGGAAAAAAGTATATTTATACAAAACAGACATTTCCAAATACTTTAATCAATTCTACTATTAAAAAACCACCGAAACAGTCAAACTAATCATAGAGGTAGAATCTAAAGCTCCATCTAATCAACTTTGGTTTGAACTTGAAAACCAGACGTACGGGACTTGAAACACGAGAGGGCGCTGTTTCCGATCAGCTGGTGATATGATCATGATGCATGCTGCGTAGTGCGTACGTGCGTGTATATGGATGAACACTTGATGTTGTGTCCTAAACTTGTTAAACTTCGGAACAGTTCTAATCTAAGGTTTGTAAAATTGTCTGGTTTATTTATTCTGCTGTGCATTTCCCCTTTATTTGCTCAAGAAACGGAAAGATTCCCATATCTGGCCATCACTTGTCACCCTGTGCACAAATCCTATGGGACTGGTCTGAAAATTTTTACGCAGTGGCTATTGTTACGGCAGCCGTAACGCATTTCCCATTTTCTATCGTTACGGTAGACTGCAACCTGGCAACTTTTATAAAAAAACATGACAAGAAAATATAAAATTAGAAGGAAAAAAGTGAATTTGAACTTTATGAAATTCGGACTTTATTTCCCTTTTAAAAAAAATCCTCCAAAGCCTCAGGTTAGAAAAGGAAAAAAATTCGAGTGCAAAACTGAGATTCGAACCCGCAACCTCGCGGTGCAAAATCCTACCCTCTATCGGCTGAGCTGGCGCACTGCTCGATAAAACGTGGGGAAACAAATAATTATATACCCGCGTGCGTATCAAAAAAAATCGTAGAGGGCGCTAAACAACGAGTGCCGTAACGATAGCCACTTCGAAATTTTTAAGTGACTGTGTTTTCTCAGTAAAAATTCAAAATTGGTCCTTGCTAGGCTAATTTCGACTTTGACTCATTATCACTTTCTGATGGGTGATAGGTCATTTACGGGAAAAATTACTGATGGCCAGATATGGGAATCTTTCCCAAGAAACTAAGCAATAACTTATGCAAGTGTGGAGGTTGATATTTAAAGTTCATTATTTTTCAAACGATTTTGAGATTTTGACTTACGAATGTTATCACTCACTAGTAAAACAGTCTGCTTTCTTCAGTTTAACTCATGTCATGTTTCTTTGAAAGCACTTTCAAAGAAAATATGACTTTCCTACCTTTTTTTTGCAGTTCGCCATCTTGATTTTTTAATATATTTTCTGTTTGTCATCGTCGTTGTTTACCCCTCATAAATCAAAGCCCTGCCCTCTTTCCACAAAATTAAACCTGCTGATATTCGACAAGAAGGTGTCATTGCCAACTGTTCAAATGTGTCAAGAAATATCAGAATGTCACTTTTGAGTGTCATTTAGTCAGTTGTTTTGGTGAGTCTTTTAACCTTATATAGGAACGGGGTCCTAAAGGTCAGGATTACCATTAAGAGATAGGCCCAATGACACAACTTTAAAAAATAGCATTCTGTCCCCTGTAGACTTGTACCCCATATCAGTTTAAAAACAGGCTTACATTACAAAAACCTAATTAGTAACTTACGGGTTCAGTTTGAGAAGACTCTCAAACAGCTAGCTAATCTTGGCAATTTGTTCCACTAGGAATAGCGTCATGAGACCGGGGAATTAATCTTCATTTGGCTGTGTGCTCACTTCCTTTTCGACGGTTATGTGCTGTTGAGCTCAGGAAGGAAATTTGTGCACGTAGGCAACGTTTGCCACATTCATCCTAATTACAAAAACATTCACACGCGGTTTGTAATTTCCTGCCTGTTGTGCAGAGACATTTTTTTCCGTTTTGAAGCCATTTAACGCTTTCCCCACCTGTGACACCTGTGATTGTGTTGTATTACAGTGGTCAAAAGACACCAGACCGTTCCAGAGTTGTTGAGACCTTCATTGTAGGGAACATCAAATTTGAATACATGTATGCAAAAACAAACTCAGAAACAGTCCGCACTCCGCACAGTTTATGACGTAAATTTTGCTCCGCGTATATCAGACAAACTTTCGAACAATCATGCGCGCACATTCACGCACATCTTGCCGCATACATTGGCATAGAAAAGGTGTTGCAAGCGTGCGCGTAATCTTCACACGAGAAGTTTCGTACAACATGCTCGTCTGAGATCCGGGTACTTACTTCTATTTTTAACATTAGTGCGGAGTGCTATTGCGCTGCGCTTTCAGTCGATCGTGCCGCCATCGGTCACTGATCGCGCCACCGTCTGTCGTTTAGCTTTTCTTTCTAATTCACAGCTCTGGGGGAATGGTTTAAAAAAGGGAAGTACAGTCTGAGATTTCCTACAGGATCGACCGATCGCACAAATTGTGCATTTCTGCGCGATCAAATGATGGTGCAGGTCTACCGATCGCACCCAACATACAAGACATTCACCTGTTGTGACTGCTGCAAATTTATGCATCAATTGCTGTTGTTGTCTATTAAAGTTCCATGCAGTAACATGAATTTTTTCAATCCAAAACAAAGATGCAGGTCGTTGACTTCCACTTTGTTTATTTGTCATCCGGTATTGTCATTAAACACGATTTCCTTGTTTTTTTCTTTTTCTTCTTTTTTTTGTCATGATGCATTGTAATTTGTAACCTCACACATGTATTTGTTACATTCGCACCAGGTGCGTCGGTCATGGACTCGTGGTAGTTTCGGTCATCGACTCGTTTCATGGTTTGTAGCTCTCCCAATGCATCATTGTGCAAGTGGCGTACTTGTTTGGGTTTAGTTACCAACAGATATAGGCTATATCACGGATACAAACACATAAGAAATATGTAGTTTCGACTAACATGGAGACGTGTCCATTGAACCCTTTCTTCTGACGCACAGATATATTCCAGTTTTGGTTTTCTTAGTTGTAGAAAGGTATAATTTGTATCAGTCTTGGGCAAATAATTTTTTCGTAGGTTTTATGTATTTTTAATTTTTTTTTTAAACAAGTGAACATTTTTCTCATGCTTAATTCATCAAGGAAATAGTAAAAATTTCTCTTTCTACAAATAAGAATATGATTTTGAAAGACAAGAATTTTGTGAAGAAATGTGACTACAGCCAGGACATTTGAACAGTTGCCTTGATCAATTTTATTTTGAATGCACAAAAAACTTTTTTTCCATGCCATTTATGTGCGTTGAAAGTTTGATGTCCGTGCCCCCCTACAGTACCCAAGTCATTGCATATACACTCAACCAAAAAAGAAAGTCCCCCCTTAATACTTTTTTGTCTAACTCAAAAACTACTCCAGGGCACATCTTGCTCAAATTACGACTGATCAGTACAGAAATTCCTTAGCAATCCAGCCATACTCTTTGTTTGGCCAAAACTAGTGATAATGTGTACAAAATTATGCAATTTATGACAAATGGTACCGAAAAAGTTGCACTTTTGTATACGTGCAACTGTTTTTGGTATCATTTGTCATAAATTGCATAAATTCGTACACATTATCACTGTTTTGGCTTCTTACAATACTTTGGAAATACCTGCAATGGCTCATACACTGAATGCCCCCCTCCCCCTCCACCCGCCCATTACATTTTTGTGGCCTTTTATCCAATGAAAATCATTACATTCAAGGGCTTTTAAACATCACATTAAGCAACTAATGTGTGGGAGTTTTCCCATTTAAGTGTTCAAGTACCCAGGACTGAATGGAACAATTCAGTCGGGAAAAAACTCTGGACGGACCGCCAGTGAAAATTGATGGAGCATTAGTAACTCCATTGTGAAGCTGGCCATGTAATGCCTTTCCACATGAATGTGCTCACTGTGATGAGTGTTCAGTTCTTGCATTCCCTAGTCTTGTGCACAGTCTACTGGTAATCATGTTATCAGCAGACAGTTTGATGGACAGACTGCAAAGTACAGAAATTTGTTAAAGGTAGTATAACAACATTTGCAACCATCAAAAAACAAAAGTACCAAATTATTATGAAATACCTTACTTGACTTTAAGTGAATAATAGTCTCAAGCATCCTGTGAAATCATAGCACCTGGTGTGCTGTCATTTTCAAGAAAAGTGGACCTTTTGTATCAATTTCCAACAATGGTTGGCCAACCATCGTTGGAAAAAATGACTTTTTTTTCAAATACTGACCCCAATTTACCAAATTTAGTTTTTTTATATCTTGCTTGCAACACTTCCGTGAACGAGTGGAAGCCAGCTAGTCTGGTTCCCTGACCTGACAATTCCCCGAAATCTATGAACTGCTCCGTTTTGTCTGAAGTAGGGTCAGGGAACCAGACTACAAGAAAAGCCAGGTTTTTCCAGCATACACGTAGATCTATGAACACAAAACTTTAAACAGGTCAGTGCAACAATATTCGATATAAAATACAAACCCCCAAATCCATCAATTTCTTAAAATTACAGCAAAACCAAATGTTGCAAGCTAAGGAAATTTTGGTTGGTACATTTGCAGTTTTTCAAAGATATGTGCAAATCTTGTTAGGTTAATTTTCTTCAACTGGAAAAGCTCCATCCATGTTTGAATAGCACATCTTAATTTTCACTCCTAACTGTAACACCCGAGAACCCAACAGATGAAATTGGAGTCCTAAGTGACAAGGGACGTAAATCCAAGCCGACAAATTCTCTACTTACATGGAATTAAAAAAAAAAATACCGGTAATACCACTCTGGGTGCAACAACCATGAAGACCACCACGACTGAGAAATGCTTTTCTCCTCGAGAAAAGAGGAACCCCATGAGGAATTGGAAATCTTAGAAGCACTTCTTGAGAAGGATAGCTTCTTAGTCTTGCATTTCCCAGAAATGTTTTTTTTTTTTTGGGGGGGGGCCTCTTTAAGGGAACATGTTGGTCGCACAAGCACAATCCAAGTTCAGTGTAAAAATTTGTGACGAAATGATAACAGTTGAAAAAGACCTTGCATATGTCTTGAGACCCCTCTTTTTAGTGATGGTTATAGAGTATTTTTCACTTTAATAATTTAAAAAACCTTTGTATTTTAATTGATTTTCAAAGTAATATTTGTACAGCTACAGTTTGAGATGTGAATTGGAAGGCGCTTTTAAAAGTAAAAAATAATATTTTTCGTTTATAATCATCGTTGACCTCTTTATGCGACCATGAGATGAAGGAAGATTTGAGTTGATAAAAATGCATCTGAACTCTATTAACTCCTGCGTGTAGGTGATAAACAAGTCTCTCTGTTTTCCCCCCGCTCTATCGTCACGGCAACCTAAGGGTAAGCTACCCTCGTTTTTGGCCGAGTGTTCCGGCCGCCCCGACCAATCAGCAGCCGCCTGTTGCATTGACCATAGAACGTGGCCCTGGGACCGAGTGCCGTTACAAAGCCAATTACATTCGATCTTCCGAGCGGGAAACACAATACGTCTCGTGTTGTGAACGCATTTCAATTGGCTCGGTGGTTTTTTTTTTTTTTTTTTTTCATTTCGCTTGTGGCACGGAGAGCACGCATCTATGCATACATAAAGTACATGCATTGGCTAGTTTCTGAATCCCACTGCCGCATGCAGTCTACAGCATATGTGTGTAACGGTACAGCTGGCATAGTAATTTTGAGCGCAGGGGGTAGCGTGCAAGTCATTTCGTAGGAATTTTGAGCGAGGAGCAAAACAAAACAAAATCAATATTTATCTGAAAAGATCAACAGAAAGAGATAAAAATATGTCTTGTCTTAAACCACGGTACCTACATGTGCAGTATAGTTCATGACATGTACAAGTAGAGTATGCGAGTATTGATGGCCGTATAGTCGGACATATTTGCAGTAGGTGGGCTTTTAATGTACAGCAATTTATTCTCACAAGGGTCGAGTGGTGAGAAAGGCCGTCTCTCGCCGATGGAAGGACAAGCCTCATTGATTACTTAATATCCTCTCATCACTGGAATTTGTTACTCTAAATTATAAATTGTTTGTAGCTATCAGAATATCGTTGGTGTGTGAGCTTGATAATCAGACCAGTGAACATGCACATATTGTACATGTACATTTAAAGTTCAGTGTATATTTTGAAACGGTGAATTATAAACACATTTAAAATGCATTGTGTATTCGGAAAAGGCAAAACATAAAATACATGTACTGTCTCTTATTTAACCTTTATTTTTCACGTAACTTTTTCTTACTGGTCATGATAGTTTTAGACTATCTCTTTTTTTTCATATTCAAATATAATTTCGTTTTTTAAGACCAACATCTCATTGAAAATTCTTTCCAAACTGCAAGTTTAGAAAATAAATATCAATTATTTGTTCTGAGAAAGACATGAAAGACTTGGTTTTTTTTTCCCCAGGCGATGCATAAAACTAGCAATGTGTGTGTACGTACATTATGCCTACCAGCATAAACTGATTTTTGAATTAAAAATGCAGTCCTTGAACTCGGTACAAATATTACATGTACATATAATTTACATTTTCATAAACATAAGTGCATAAATTGTTTTTTTTTTAATCCCAGTACAGACTTGCCATATACATGGCAGTGTATAGCAGAATGCTTGGCAATTTTAACCTTTTGGGCTAAATTATTTAAATTTTAGAAATTGCTTCCAGACAAAATGTGTGTTTGCTTTACTGAATGAAACATGTCTGCCAATTCACCGTTTAATTTTTTGGTTACAATCTTGCTTACTGTATAGAACATTTACCATGGAGGTAGAATTTATACCTCCATGATAGTACTACAAAAAATATCTTGAGTAGAACAAAAAAAATGGGTTTTCAGTAACAACAGAAATTGATTTTGAGAAATGGTCTGAACTTAGGACGTCATACTGTGTTGATTAAATCTGCTTTCGTGGATATTTATTTATGCAAATCATGTTAATTTATGCATATGGTCTTTGTTTACTCTTGAATGTGCAATGTAGTACTTGCCAGGCTGCCGCAGGGCATTTTATTGCCAGTCCAATGATGATAATTAGGAGCAGAGTGCATCACTGCGGATTTAACGCCCTAATCACCAACCATTAATTGAGTCATTGCCTTATCCTTGTCAAAAGAGGGTAAACATTCCTTTGCCCAGTTTGAGGATAAGGACTTTATCAGATGAATAAATATCTGTCCAGGGTAAACAGTTGTGTTTGTTTTGCTGCCTCTGAGAAAACACAATGAAATTGACACATTCAGAAGAGTGACGGACTGTAAACGGTGCGGAAGAGCCAGTTTACTGCACAGCCACAGAAAGCAAATAATAACATTTTCAAGCCACACAAAAAAAAAAAAACAAAACATTTTTCACCGTTGAAAAGTGGATTTTGAAGAAGGATATGAAGGATTTGAATATTTCTGCTCGCTTTTATCCGATGATTCCTCTGATGTTGTAAATTACCCATTTTCTTCGCAAGAGTTGTTAAAAAATCTCATAATTATGTGTATTATTTATATTGTGAAGTGACTGAAGTGATCATGTGTTAGTCTCTTGATTGAAAGTTGCAAATCATGCAAATGACTGAGACATGTTTAATTTTTCAGGGAAAATATAGTAATAATTTGTTATTTTTGTTGTATTTTGTTTTTTGTCATACGACAGACAGAAACTGTGCGTCTTGTTATACGCTGACAGGGTTACAGGTACATGATGATTATTGGCTTGCATTGGAATCACGTAAAGCCGTGTAGTTATTGACCTGAATATCACAGATTTCTTCCAGATCCGTGAATCGGCCAACTGACCCCGGCCATCTCTCCCCACGACGACAACCGCGTCGTGGACAGCAGGGATTAGCGACGATAGTGACGCGGTCCTGGAATGCCGGCGTGACACGCCAGGTCATCCGCGGCAGTCCCCCCGTTATCATCCTGATCAATCGGGGTTGTTTTTGCGAGTCATCACGAGCCAGCACAACAACAGGACGGCTGGGCTGGCGGCGGTTACGGATGCACGGACGGTTATAGCTCGACTATGCTCCGCGGCTAGAAAGTGAAACCAATAAAGAGAAGGAAAAAAAACCAAAAGGCAGTTTGATGAAGATGCTGCAGGGTGGAGCCCACCAGCGAGGCTGATTACGTCAATACCAAGCCCGACCTCAACCCCTCCAGAGCCCCTCCATCGGCCAGCTGTGTGTGTGAGAGAGAGAGAGGTGGGTGATAAGGTGAGCGTTATTACCTCGCATCATGATGAGCATAGGCACTTTGTGCTGGTAGTACTACAGGCACTAGTGTAGCCTGACTGACTGACTATAAGACAGGCATTAGCATAGCTGGAGCAGTGACTGCCTTGATGTATACGTGCATGTGTACCATTCCACACCGTGCATTAACAGCACATCTGGCCTACTCACGGCAGGCAGTCACACAATTTGTACTGCACCCATGCACTGCACACACACTCACGGTCACCCCGAGCTGACAAGCCTTGTCAGGCAGGCCACCGCAGTGTGTACATAGGCTAGATGTGGTTGAGTAGGCACTGGCTTAGCACAGTGTTTGCCGGCACCGAAATAGTAGAGCCGCTGAAAGCATCAATCTGGTTGGATTGTTAGTTTCCTGGGTGTGTGATTTGCTGTTGAAAGCCCTTCACATCGGCCACACCGATCTTGATTGGTCTATGAAGCTGGCCAGGCATTGTTAAAGCTCCATTATTGCCAAGGACTTGGCCTTGTTTGGGCTGCACTGGTACAGTGTGGGGGCGAATCACAAAACCAGGAAGTGGACTGTGTATCCTAAAAGGTGTGTGTATTTTGTCATTGGGCTGTGCATGTAGGTAAGTACAAGTACATGTAACTTTTGCTTTTCATTTTGCCAACTGCACTAATAGGTTAAATTGATATCCCTAGACAAACCCATTGAGAACAGTGAATTGAATTTGGATGATTTCTGCAGGTAAAAGCTGACAGTGTAGTAAGTGCACGGTAAAGCATTCATTATGTTTCTAGAAATAAGATAAACTTTACTGAGCACTGCAGAATGATATGGAAGTTATGTAAATCAAGTATCTCGTTTAAAAGGCAGTGCCATCATTGTTATAGCCTCTATAGTCTTATGAGCTTCAGTAAAAATAGAAGAGTGGTCACTGTATTTGCATGGAAAAATGTGCAGAAAATCTGAGTACTTGTACTTTTTGTAGTGGGATTTTATAGTAAGTTTTGCCCCTCTTGTCTTAGTTCGCTGTGGTCACAAAGTTTTTGTTTTGTTTTGGGATCACAAGCACTTATCCTTCCAGAGACCTTGTTCTACATGTACATAATGTAGGTACTGGTAGTAGACGTTTCGCATATTTTGTGTAAAAATTATGTACCTGGAGAAACAGCGAATTGTTGTCATAAAATTCTGCACAGAAACAAAGATACCGGTACGTACCGATACCTCAGAATAGCAACACTCAAAACAGTCGTTAATGAGAATTGAATATTGGTGTGCATTTGCGGGTAGTACGAAAACTGTGTACCCTATTGTAGTAAAACAGGGGTACCTGGTACCCGTAACAGAAGAAACCAATCCCCAAAATTCAAATCCCAGAATTTTCTGTGAAGTGCTTTATAACTTTATGGTGTAAACTGCAACTTTCGCGAGTGTCATCTGTCGCGCGTTAAAATGCGCATATTAACGTGAAATTTGTTTTGGTTTTCCATGTAGCCGGGTTTTCATTTTAAAAATTCCCCACAAGTGGGATTCAAAACCTTTCTTTTTCAGTGTCTGAGAAGTTACTAAGTAATTTGTAAAGTTGTTTACGACATATATGGTTACGGGAACCTGATCCCATAGTCTGGAATCCGTTCCAGTGGTCGGGTTCACGGGTGCCTGGTTCCGATTCACACCCCAAAAATTTAAGGGTTTATTTTTCATTTTTGTTGTTAAGTTTGTAGCTTTTAATAAAAAAAATGCCTTTACTCTTCACCGCAGGTCTGAGTTCGTATTGGCTGCAGGCGTTGACAATCGAGCTGTCGTGATTGCGCACATCCAGCCAATTCACCCCAGTAAACCATTCACCCCTTCAACCAACCCCCACCACCGACCGACGACCTCCGACCTGTGGATAAAAACCCTACCGTTGTCGATCCCATCCGGCTTGTGTCTTTCCAACTTGGATTCTACGGGTGTCTCACTCAGTCAAGCCACCTCGCAGCATTCCAGTTTTTGTTATTTTGCCAAGACACCGAGGGATAAAAAACAAGGAGGAGTTTTCTTGCAAGCAGCATGCAGTGGGATAAGCTAAGTCCGGGCCAGTTTGAGCAGTTGCTAGATTACGTCACCTGTAAGTAAAACATTCTTTCTTGCTGATTCTATTTTTTTTATTTCCTGACCTTGACATTGAGCTCAGTTATTAACAGATGGTCTGTCACTAATACCCAAGCATGCCACCAGAAGACAAACTTGTGTTTGACATTTTCCTTATAAGTCAAAGCAATCTTAACTCTTTGGCAGACTTGAAAAATGTAAGGTTCAAAGAATGACATTTTTCCTGTCCCTGTTACCAAAAAAACCCTGTACCTCCGAACTTACCATTACATGTATCTTACCTATAATTTACCATTCGAGTATCATCAAAATGACTTCAAACTTTTTAAAAAATTTTGTTGGGTAGAATGCATTCAGGAATGTATCCAGAATCTATAAAATCATACACAGTGTAACAGAGACAAGAAAAGTTGGACCCAAAATTTGTACCTACCAGTTCTTAGCACATTTCTTTGAAATAGTCAGTGCTTTCTCCGCCATTTTGGGAGAATTTCCATCAAAAGACAGTAGCTGGTTCGTGGACACTTTTACGTATCGTAATTAGGTCGTTATTGTGGGAAGCACATGCCTCTCACACTGAATAGGCAGATTGTGATGGCTATTAGATGGCGTGGATACATGCCCTGTCAACGACCTGCCGAATGACATCAGACAGAATTGCTCCAACTTCAGCCGAATCAAAGACTTTCAAATTAAGGCACATTTTCCAGTACCATGCTCTGTCATCCAATTCCAAGTTACATTTAAGATACATCTTTGTTTTCTGTACATCAAATGTAATTACTTATTGCTGAAGTACTGTACAGTGTGATTAGTGCTTATAATTTATTCATGTATTTAATTTCTTTTTAATAATCGCAGTGGTTTAAACCCATTCTTACACGTTAGTTAAAACAGGGTGTTGTTGATTTCTCTTTAGTTACATGCTTTCAATATGCTGCCACTTCCCTCATTTGAAAAGATCAGAGATTGAAATTGAATGCAACATCAATCATATCATGTCGCACAATCTTTCGCTGTCTGCAGTGAAAAGAATAAAGAATCGGCACACAGATGCAAAATTACATTCATCCGTCTTCTTTACAAAGTCAGATTTTTCTCTGGCAACCCAAATGTTTTTCATTATTGTCTAGCAAACCATGAACTATTCATGAGAAACATTCTATTGAATTTTCATCAAATTATGGCATAGTGTGGATGAACTTGAGTCCTTTCATGATGATTTGAAAAGCCCTGGATATGTTTGACGCCAAAAGCTTGCTATTGTCTAGGGGAAAAAACCTGCAAAATATTGGTTAAGATAATCTGGTCCGAATTTTTCAAGGGAAATACTGAATATATAAACAATTTGCACGCACACATTGCGATGTGGACTGTATGCGTATCATACACATTAAGAGTTTTGAATTTTGCAAAATATAATTTTACGAAGATTATAATAATTCATAACACACATGACACACATGTACATGTACAGACATACAATAATTTAAACACAAGACATCCTATGTAATTTAACAATAAAATACACCTGTTTTTGTAGAGACTCTGCAACAGCTGTGCTATGTGTTCACAGAGAAATGCCGTTTGTCTCCTCCACAGCGAAAGTCATTAGTAATTTCAAAGGTCACAAATTGGCTTTGTAAAGAGTATCCTCTAACAAAAAAAGAAGAGATAAACGTCGTCAGTTTGTCTATTAAGCAATTTACAGCGAAAGGGATTGAGGCCCCCCCCCCCTTTAAAATTTGTCTCGTTTGACACACCTGGGTATTGATGAACGCTCAGGGAACCGATTAAAATGCACGGGATACCGGTGGCAGTCAAATTAAAAGTTGCAGTTCCAAGGACTGATTGACTATACGTGTCAGTACAGACAGGGTGCCCAAGCGAGCCGCTAGTAAAGGGGGAAATTGTGGGATATAGCCCTGCTTATTCTAGTGGACAGTGTTGGACATCTCTCGATCTGTCTGGTTTGGTTTACCTTATAAACTTGTGATATGAATGTTTGACTTTTTTTTTCGGAGTGGTACAGATGCCTACAGAATTTTGCCGAAAATACTACGTACATGTAGGCTTTTAGTTTTACACATCAGAGATACAACAGTAAGAGTTTTTGAATATGAATACACATATGTACGTGTGTGTACATTATGTGCATTGTATAACGAGTTTTAACGAGACCATTCGCCCAGTGCCAATTTCCAGCATTTTATTGCATTTTAGAAAAGGTCAATTATAAAGTGGCACTCATACATGTACATGTGCATACGTGTACATGTACAAGTAGTAAGTTTGCATTGAAGTTTGAACATGAACATTTTGAAGCGACTCAAGTTAGTTGTGCAAGTTATTTTCAAGCTTTAGTCAACTATTTTATTCACGCTGAGTTCCCCCTCTATTTACGTACATGTATGGATTTCATGTGCATTTTTTTTTGAAAAATTTAGTGCATAATTACAATGTCAAATAATTGGAAAATAATTACACGGAAAATAATAGGATGTTAAGTACATGATATACCGGAAGTTACGTGTATGAGCAACAAATGTACGAAAAACTCTACATACAGTATCTGACTTCTGTTTTCTTCAAATGCACACATAAAATAACATGCATAGTGCATCAGTATGCAACACATGTACAGACGTTCGTTCAAATATTAATCCCCATTTCTCTCGGAAATAGCCGATTACAATTTTCTGCCCAGTTCCAATCGGATGCTGTTTGGCAGCACTTGTTAAAATTGCAAGTGCTTCCACTTTGTCACATTTTGGGTGTGAAGCGTTCCAAACTTCATCAGGTATGCACGCCCACAGTGACAGTCGCATTCCCCAAGATAATATAGATAGTCTGCGTTAAATAATGAATAAAGGTCATCTCATATCCAAACCACATGCTCCCTCTGTGGGAATATGGGGGAGGACGTGGGTTTTATTAATTAAGGTCACGCTTTTTTTTTGTAACAGTGTATGGATAAAAAGAAAATTATTTGAAGGGGCAGATTTAGTCATGATGCATAGGTCCGTGTTTTTTTTTTTGTGAGGGCTGTGGATGCTTTACAACCTTGAGAAGTTAAATCTACACCTATTCATGTCAATTTATAAATGGAAAATGAAATGATGGACCGTGATTTACGTGTAGCGTATAGAGTGAGCTTAGGGACTATCTTTCCAGTACATGTGCTGCATATTGGATATATTGAAGTATTTTTGTTGTTGCAAGATTGAGGAATAGAACGCAGCCAATGTTGCTATTTTACTCCAGTTCAAGTGGGCCAGCTGATTTGTCTTCTTGCGCCTGTCGCGTTGACTAACTCGCTGGCTGACTGACTAACTGATTTGTTTAAACAAATTTGACTCAGTTGACTCCCTTGAACCCTTCGACCAAATTGATCTAAGACTTGCTTTAATAGACTTACCTCTAGTATTGTTTACGTCAGGATTAACATGAACAGTTGATTTCCTACACTGTGATGGATTTCGGAATTTAACTGGACCGTTTTGTCTTATAAGGGGCCGTTAAGAGTGAAAGAATGCAAAAAATGTACCAATTTTGACACTTAGGCCTAGTTTGTATTTGAAATTGAACTGTAGAATATTGCAAGAGTAGTTGGCGACCAGTAATTTGAAGATACTATGTAAATATTTAGGGAAAGGGAGTGCTCTTTTCAATTTTCTTCTGATCCACCACCTCATCTCGTTGGCGTTTCTTATATAGGACATTCAGGGACTCTCTCCTTTCGGTCCTCATAAAATCCTAAGATATAGGCCTATCCCAAGATGTGTGCCAAGAAAATGAATCATCAATTTCCCCCTAGGATCTTGCCAATCCAAAGTACAAAGTTTCCTCTGCCTTGCACTGTACAGATGCAGTACATGTAGTTACTTCCTGAGCCTTCCTCCAAGCTTGCACAGCCAAATTACACAATATTGGATATTCGTTTTCATTGGATCAGTCAAAATGAGATCGTAGGATTTTATGTACACTTTATACATTGCTATTGCTTGTAAAAAAATTATTATACAGTTCTTTGATAAAAGGTCGGCTCACATACTTTGACTTCCCAAAGCATTCGCTGCGAAATTTGCAGGAGTTAAAATGGTTTCAGCTTTTATGAATTTGCCATGCCGATACTTGCCATGACGTCATAAATGTGGGTTCGAATTGGCATTTGCGCAGAGTATGAATGGGCCTCTAGCACTGTCAAATTCTAAGGCTGTTCAGCATGAAAGGTAATAGGCCTATGTACGATGTACCGGTAGATCGAGGTACAATTTTGCATGTTTCCTGGTTGGTTTTTTTTATGTTGGTTCACCCTTGCGATTACAGTCCAGACCTGTTTATAATTATGTTCAAGTGTGTCGTACAAGTTTTGGTTTCCCCACCTGGCCCCGAGGCACTAAGGCCCAGTCATTCATCATCCTGCTCATGACATTGCCCACAGGACTCACAGTAACATTGACTACAACATAAAAGCCTAACATACGTGTAGAACTACTCCCCTGTTTGGAAGTTAGTCGGCCAACCCTTGACATTTTCAAACAAAATTTCAGTCCTTTTAAATTTTGTAGGCACCCAAATATTTCATGATGTTGATCCTGCACTAGGGCACTTCCTAATGTATTATTTTGTTGCAGGGAGTGGGGGGGGGGGGGGGGGGGGTCGGAGGATACAGGATAAAGTGTAACCTCGTTGGCAATTTAAGACATCCGATGACAGACAGGCTCAGCACTAACTCTTCAGTTAATACATTAATGATAAGCTGCTGTCTCAAGCTTGGCCATGCTGCTCACATATGGTGCCAGAACTCGCATCTATTCGCAATTACGGGAACAAGAAAAGGCAACGCACTCGATTGAGCGTCTTCTCACTTCTTGCCTCGTAACCGATAAACGAAGAGGGGTAGTTTGTCATGCACAGTGTAGAGAGTGGTTTCGTCTGTTTCTCGGCAGACAGTTTCTCAATTTATGGCTTGTGACTACTAGCACCCCTCGAGCAAAGACATTGACTGATTGGGAGACTGCCAACAATATGGCTGGATAGCCAAGAATTTACTGTGTACATTGTACGTGCACCATGTGTACACATCTACCATGTAGTTGTTTTTCCAGACAGACATTTCTAAATGTTGGCGTTTTGAGCAGGGCCCCTTTAGACGAAATCGGAGTTCGCAAGCAACGATAACTCAGTTTTGTAATTGGGTGCCGGCCAGTATTCCAAAGGGTCAAAT